CTAGGTTTAAACTTTTTCAAACCAGTTTAACTTTACTGGACGATGAAAAAAGAAAATGAAACTGGTTTCCAAACCCACACACACTACACCAATCACTAGAATGTCTGGATTTACAGATACTATTGCTATGCTAATTTCTTTATTTTGGCATCAAAGACAAACAATAGGTCCTGTAACATCTGAAGCCAGGGAAAGATCCCTGATGTCAACAGTACTTTTTCATCAAAAAAACAACACATTTTCTGAATGAATTAACTTTAAACATCCTAACTGTAGCTCAAAGTAAACATTGCGCAGATTTCTTCTTAATTGCACACTTCAATCCTTATAAAGTATCCTCATACCATACAAAGACATGCAAGTGGCAGTTATGTGAAAGGAACACTATAACAGCGAGGATTTTAATATGTCCAGTAAATTTCAATTACATTTTTAAAGAATACAGTACCACTCAAAAATATGTTAACCAGAAAATGCACACTGAAAGTCTGAATTAGGATAACAACAGAATGAACTGCTGAGAAAAATCATCTTTTGACTCAGTTCTCACCATTTCCATCATTTCTGGATCATCAAAGTCATAAATGATATGTTCTAGAATGTCTCGATCAGCAACAAAACCCAGAGCTCTGAATACAATCATAATGGGGATTTCTTGTCTGATATATGGCAAGGAACCAACAATCCTCTGACCAATAGCACTTTTACGCCCTCCTTGACTTCCCTTAGCTAACATGGATACCCACATGGTGCTTGTTGGCCTTGAAGAATGTTCCAAGCATGATCTGATCTCTGCAGTAAATGAATATTTTGAATCTTTCTTGGAGAATACATAAACTGTATTTGTAGCCATTTTCTCTTGAGCAATCAGCACTTTTTCAGATCCGTTGATAATGAAGTAGCCTCCAGGGTCAAGAGGACACTCGTTAAGTTCTGTCAAGTCACGATCAGTCAGACCACTCAAAAGGCAGTAGGTGGATCGCAACATGATTGGTATTTTTCCAATGAACATTTTGCTATGTTGAGTGACTTGAGGTTCATCATCTTCTCTAGTCATTGTTTTTGTAATGTCAACATATAGAGGGGCTGAATAACTGCAAACAAACAATATCAATAATGACAGCTGCAATACTTGTTCAAAACTATTTCATGTCTTAACTCTTAATTCTTTTTCAGTGTATATAATATATTTTCTCAATTTAACTCCCACAGCATCAGATTTAAACTTGTTCCAGTGTATCTGTCTTTTAATTAATCACAATTAGTCACAAAAGCACAATTTTTCCCATCATCTAGCTGAATCAAACATTTTGGGAGGTGGTAAACAAGATACAATGCAGTGGGAGTTTTACGATTTTTTGTTCTGGAAAGGAACCAATTTCATCTCAGAAAAATATTAATAGATGTGGAGACCTCTCTGTTAACATAAAAGTTCAATGAAGCTCCAATGTGAACACTTTGTTAGGTATTTTCCAACAAACTTTATTCAAATATTTCAGTGGTAGCAAACTCATTCTTGAATAGAAAGGTTTCTTACAAATACAACTCTACAATACTTACGTTAGATTGCGTAGCCTTGCTTCATTTGGCATCATAGGGCTTGGAGCACCATCTTTTTCCCAATGTGTTGGTTTTGACAGGTAAATTTGTTCAAACTTCAGTAAGAATTTTGGCTATAAAAAGAAGTCAATTGGAGAGTAACTCGTACATTTAATGGAATTTTGATGCTTATTTACAACTGTGAGTGAGCTTTAACTCACTAACTTTTTCTTAAGCCATCTCCTGAAAGAAGGATTTTTCCTTAGCAAATCAGCTGTAGAAATATTAGAAGCCCCTTGCAGCTTCTTTGTTTGATATATTTTTTGTATCACTGGCTTGGAGTTTGCTGCATATTCTTTCCTTTTGCCATCATCCCTGTTAAACATTACTTAAAAATATCTTGTTTCTGTTTTACAAGCTCAGCTGCATATGTCACTGACCATGCATTTGACCTCGTCACAGATCTAGCTGCTTTCAACTGTTAGCAGTCCAGGATACAACTTCTTGATTGAATCAAACTTCCAAGGTTGCTTTCATGTAAAAGATTTTTGTGTGCAAACTCACCTTTGGCAGGTACTTCTAGAATTATAATAAAGAAAGCCAATAACATGCATAAGAGTAAACTTTTATTCTTACTTTTTGTTTTAGACAAGCAGTACATAACTTTCAGTTTGTTTTTTACGAGATAGAAAGCCCTGACACCTGTCAATGTCACAGTGGATGTACTCAGTGTGCAAACTCACAACAAGACACATGTAGCCCCTTTACCAGACTCAATCATAATTTGCCAACTTACTGGAGTTTCTGTATCTGCAGTCATGTGAAGTGACTCTGCTTGTAGATCAATTTCTGGAGAGTCTTCTACAATTCTTTGCACAGACATCTGAATAAACTCGTCAAATGAATCCAACTGCTGTCGAACAAGGCCTTTCTCGTCAAAATACGAGCTAATGACGATCCAGCAAGCTTCCTGCCACAAATCTCGAGTAATCTCTTCTCCCTCTTCCTCTCCATACCCAACTTCTGCGAAGAATCAGCGATAATAACTAATGACCGAAACGTCTTGTTCACGCTAGCTGTTTTGTTTTGAAATATTGAAGAGCAAAAATTTAGCCACAAATAAAAGATGGTTTCTCACCGTCGTCTGGGTCATACATGGCTCCTAGGTAATCTGTAGTTAATTATAACTTGTGTTAGGCCTTTTCTTCCGAGGATAGAGGGGAAATGTTAATGATTGAGATGGATTCTGGTGATAGAGACTGCGCATTTATTCGTGTCCGCCATGACAGACGAACTACAACCTCGACCGAGAGGAGCCCAGGTTTTCAAAGGAAACGCAATGCACCATGGGAAGAAGATGACCTCAAGCGCAAAAAGACGCCGAAAGTCATAACAACAAAAGGCGGATTTAATCTTTCGGGACAATCTTGAGTACCTCATGAAAAGTCTACTATGAAACCATAACATCCTATTCAGAGGTAACACAGGTCTTTCTACTTCTCGCATTTTTGTTTAGTTTATTTGCGGTAAATTACTTTGGATGAAGTCTGTAGCTCAATGAACTCTGGGTTTCGATGGTAACCAGCTGTTCTACAAGAAACCATTCTTTCGATAACGAAGCCATAACTTCACTTAGTCGAAATAATTCACCGCTATCTGGTTCTTTATTAATTTATAATAACTGGATCGTTTGTTGCCGGCTAATATAACTCGCTAACTCAGTCGTAATGAAATTCGACACGTACATGCACGTAGTTCTTAAAAAGTTAGTGACTATGGCAAGATCGAAGCTGTGATTTTCATGAGAACACCACCTCACCTAACTTTACCCAAATTTGATCTCATCGTCTACGAGTTAAACCCTAAACATTGACTTTTTTTCGCGATTTTATCTCTCTTCCATACGTTAACTGATGTGCGTTAGAAAACCGGCCGTAATCTTGTAGTTAATAGAAACTTATGGTTTTGGCGCGGTCCATCTGGCCCCGGTTGTTCAAAGGATGGATAACGCTATACACTGGATAAATCTCTATCCCGTGGATAGCGCAGTGCGTTTTGGTAACACTTATCCGCTGGATAGCGATTTATCCGTTGGATAGCGCGGTCCAAATTAATTAGAATCTTGAAGTCCTGTTTGAAACAATTAACATTCCATTCTCGCAGACGACGGTAGTGCAGTTATTATCGGACGATGCGATTAAACTAGTGATCATGTTATGAGTGATGTAAAAAGTGAACTATACCTATCCTAATGTGTTGTGCTCTAATAACGTTTCGCAATTTGAAGTGAGTGTAAACAAATGTAGGAAATCACTCTTACGCGTATTGCAATCGGAAAATTCACGAACGCTTATCAAGATGAATTAACGAAAAGTTTGGAAGATGTAATACTTTAGCTTATTGTATAAATTTGGAGTAGATTAAGGTGATGTGAGATTCATTAAATTCACGTTAAGGTTAGTCATTTGGAAGCACGAAAGTGCAGCTACAGATGTTGAAATGTCGAAAGCGTGTTCTGTAGATTATAACGTTTGAAAGATCTACAAGGAAACAGTGAAACATAGTCTTGAGATCACAATTTCTCTGCTCTCATAAAATTGGAAGAATTCTTGTTCTGGTTTACGGGGATAACATATTCGAGGGCTGTTGTGCGCTGTAGTTTGGAGTTTTAAAATTTCACGCACGTCACTTAATGATGTAAACATGTTTACTGTTGGTAACCGCGGGGTATCTTTTGTGGAGGCAAACTATTGTCTCAAACACATCAAGTTGTCTCTCTTAAGCGGTAATTAGGTTTATTATTTTTAAATTACTTCCACAAAAGTATCTGGGCATTAGGGGTCCAAGATGAATTTTTCCTTAGTCACAATTGGTAGACTCTGTAAAATGGTTGCTAGAATTAGAGTTGTGTTCAGTCACAATTTCTTTATAAACAAATAATTTTTATAACAACAAGTGTCTTGCTTTGACTTTACACTGTAAATACTAAGTGATTAACTCTTTTGTACCCTAAAATCAGCAGCATGTTCTCCATACTGTTCTCTATACATTTCGTATAAAAATGATGATAATGATTGTATGTTTTATTTACATTTCTAGCAATCAACCAACATTGGTTAATTTAACAAAGTTGCTAAAATGTACATGAAAATTACATAATAAAATTTGTTAATATAGAAACAAATCTGTGGTGAGAAAATATAAAAGAAATAGCTGAATAAAAAGCCTTTACTTCACTCTTTAAAGAACTTAGGCATGCTGTAGTCCTTCCTTGGTCTGGTGAAGGGTTCCAGAGTGAGGGAGCAACATCTGAAAAAGTGTATTTTCCATAGTACTCAAGATTATATTTAAGAACTACTAACAATACTTGTATGTTTAATTAAAGGGTCTGTTAAATATTACGTCCTATTCCATGAAACGCTTTAACAGTCAAAATTAAAATCTAGCACTCATTCCTTGCCTTGACAGGCAACCAATGTATTTTTTCCAAAATCTGGAAATATGGTGGTATTTCTTTGAGTAGGTGTGAAGACTGGCTGCAGAATTTTTAACATGAGGTGCTGATAAGGGGATATTTTTAGCAATCAAGAGCTTTGTAAGATGTTGATCATTACCTTAATTTTCATGACTTTTGTGTTTGATTCAGCAGTTATAATTTAGGAGAAACTAGAAACTTGTTACTACTAAGAGTTAAAAGAGTTCAAGGGTTGAAATATTACAGCTTATTACATGAAAGCCAAATACGAGTTCTAAATTGATAATTTTTGTCTCAGATATCATCAGAACACCAGACAGGCTTGAGAGTTGAAAAATGAGAAAGGTTGTGACTTAAAGGGATACTCCAAAATCAGGTGTGGGGGTGAAGACTGGAACCTATTTATTCTTTTTCATATCGTTATTTATAAATAAAATTAATAAATATGCATTTATATGGCGCCATCTTCCATTAATTGTCCATGGTGCTTTACAATACTTTAAAACCGTGAAAATTAAAATCTTAAGAATTAAATACACTATATAATACAATAAGGTTAGAAATAAAAAGTAAAAACTACAAGTAAAAACTATAAATCAAATGCATGCTTAAAAAAGATAAAAAGTCTCAAGATTAGCCTTAAAAACTGCCTCTGATGATGAAAGCTTGGTCTGGAGTGGTAGTTTATTCCAGAGCCTTGGTGCTGCACGGAAAAATAAAAGAAACATAAAAGAATCCAGTCCTTACTCAAAAACCTGAGAGTATCCATTTAGTCATAACCAAATAAAAAAGCAAAATAATTGATATTTACTGACTTTTTTAAATTTACATCATTTTAGAAGAGTACAGAAGGTGTCCAGGAACCATGGGTATTTCCGCAAGTATAGCAAATTCCTCTCGCAAATATCGCACCAATGAAGAATTGCCTCCTGCTCGGAAGTCATCTAAACATTCATCTATTGAAGTTTCTGATGATGGTGATGAAGAATTAAGAAGTGTGCAAAGCTTCAGACAGTCGAGCCCAATGGCACATCAAGATGCAAGGTCCTTTGCTTTTGATAGGACCCACACAAAACAGTATAACCCAAGAAATCAAGTGGACAGGCATAGTTACCATGGCAACCTGGAGCTTGTTCGTCCTGCCAGTAGACGCATATACCATCCTGGCAGTTTAGATCGGGGTTCTAGAAATGGAAATGGTTCATATTCCACATATAGTGCAAGAGAGTCACTCTCAAGAGCTTTGGTTTCACCAAGTACCTCAAGCGTGTATGGGTCACAGCCTAGACCTGCACGAACCATGAGAGATGTCAGAGAGTATTTGTTTCAGCATCCAGAGCTAATAGCTGGTAAGAAGAACAAGCAAATGAGGCAATCTGTTGAGAGTGATCTGTATGGGGTCTCTACCAATCACAAGCAGATGAAAACTAAACAGCATGTTTACATGGGACTCATAAACATTCCCATAATCTATGGAGCTGGTGCTCGACCAGATCATAAGCAGCTAAAGGTTGATCAAAAGTTGTACCTCAACCTTGTTTACCCGACAATGAGACCCAAAGATTACCGCAGTCAGGTCATAAGATCACATCCTCCCCTTAAACAGGAAGGTATGGTTGTTGTGAGAAAAGATGATTCTCTACGGCAGCCTAATGAATATATAAAAAGACCTCTTCCACACATGCTGGTGTCAAGGGTTCCAGAAGCACCTAATGGAAAAAATGTCCCTGGGTCTGTACGGCAAGAAAGAACAATTTCAAGGGCAGAGGCTCCTACTTCCCACAGAGTTAGAAGTCAATCACGAAGTGTAGCAGAGAACATCCCTAAAAGAGCAAGTAATGACTATGTTGATTTTCCTGATGTTGTTAATGAACCACTTACAAGCAGGTCTGTTAGAAGTGAACAACTATTGCTTAGGGACAGTCGACAGATGAATGGTTTTGTCAAGTCTGGGAATTCGCGGCAGAGGACTCCAAGACTTGGAAAAGAAGATGATGAGGTTGTGTTCACCTTCAATGTTGAAGATCTTAATCTCAGGAAAAAGACTGAAATACCTCAGTTTGAACATGACAAGGATACAGGACAAGTGGAACCACTTTACTTCAGGAAGTCTCTTGCTTTCAGCCCAAAGTATGAATATAGTGAAGACCTTCTGTCAAGTCCATTGTGAAGATGTTAAGCTGTCAAAAATATTGCCACCCACATGGCCAGGGCAGTTTACATGTACATCGTGCACAATTTGGTGCAGAGAAGGGTACATTTGTAAGTTTAAAAATTAGTTTAACTGTGGAGATGGACAAAACTGCCAAAAGACAGCCTGTGGGTATAACTTTTCCATGTAGTGTTTGCATGTTGCCTCACATATGTTGTAAGATGTACTTCTACCTTTCTGCTCAAATCTGAGGGCCTCACTAAGAGCAAGCTGTTTAAGTTTTTGGTCACCAACTTAACAATGCCCACAAAAACAAGAGTATGTTTGGAAAAAATTTTCACATGAAAGAAGAATATACGATTGTATCCAAGAAATTAATTGGAAAAGGTGTACGGGTAATTAGTGGAAGTTCAAGGAGTAAAAAAGCAGGGGCAGAAATATACACCACAGGCTTTGATGAAGTAACAATAACAGTACTAATTATGACTGCCTGAAAAACAGGTAGTATCTTTCTTTGTTTTTGAAAAATTATTCATTTCTGGATTTCAAAAAGAAATGTTTATGTTCGATGAATTTGGATGGTTTTCACTTTTAATGCTTTCAAAAGATCTCTTTATGGTCATGGCAGAAAAATTCATAATGGGTGTTAACAATTTTTATATGATTTCTCTTCAAATTTTTACATTTCTGGGATTGCGTTTGAAGAGGTTATTCTACAAAGGAAATATATGGTCAGGTGTGCTAAGCTTTTTGAAGTGTATTAATTATTTATCAAAGATCTACATTTATACTAACTAAAGATAATACCCTAGAAAATTTGAAAAATTACCATGCAAAGTTTACATTTTTGTATCAAACTTGAGATAAAAAAAATAATGAATTGAAGAGACAAATTTTAGGAGAGCATTCCTCTTTTTAGTTTGGAATGACCTTCTTCTTGAAATGTCTTGATTTTTGTGGGAGTCTCCAAGCTTGAAAAAAACTGTGTTCAGTTATTGGGAGTGTTTGATTTCCCAGCCACAGTAACACTATTTTTTCACTGTAAATGGGTAGACTCCCAGAAACTTCCTCTCTACGCAGCGTTTGATTTCATAGTTCTTTTATAGCCCAGACACAAAGTCAAACGTTTTCATTGTTTTCACATTTTAACTATTTTTTAGGGTTTGCATTCTATCGCATATGCATCATAATGATATGATATAAACCAAACAGTGTGACTTGTTGTTTAGCTCAGAGAGTGGATGATATAATTCCTTTTCCGTTACCCAGTAATGCTACTATGAATTATTTTTTCAAGATCTTTTTCTTTACATCTGTGGCTCCTTAGCAGAGCATAGGCCATTTTTGTTTTTTTTTTTTAAAAGATGCTAAGTAATATTTTAATAGGTTTAAGAGTTAATACAAAATACAAAACATGCACCTGTACAGGAGTACTGTATTGGAAGACAGATGATAACTCTTGAATGAGAAATTGACTCAGTATAGCTTGATTTTATCTATATCAGAATTCCAGAATTCTAAGGTTAGAAGCAATCTTTAATTCATTAACTCCATTGATTTTAAGGTTGAAAATTGTAGATGAGAACTTGTTATTTACTTTAAATAATTAATTTATTGCAAAAAATGTAAAAACTTAAGTCCAGCTTTTGAAGGGACACAAAGGGTTCATATGGGTTGTGATAAACCAGTCATGGAACCACTAAGTTTCTAGGCCCGGGAGCAATTATGACATGATTTTGAAAGTGGGTTATATTAAAGGTCATGGCAAATGACTGATTAGGATATTTTGATTGTTCTCACTTTATTTTGGAACCCTTACCTTGATCACAGGCCATAGAGAACATCAAAACAAATCCTTGCAAAGGTCTTGGAAAGTCATGGAATAATGATTTTGAAATACTGTAGGATTCCAGGCCTGACAACACAAAACCGTAACAGTACAGATTACACTGTTATCATTTACCTAGTCATCACTCTTTCTGGTTGACAAAGTGATTATTTTTTAATAATAAATGAAGAATCACAATAAAGGGTTGTGTTGTTTTTCTTCTATTGACCCCAACCTGTTTGATATAGGTTGTAGATTACTAGACTGATATGTGATCCTGTTGTGTTCTTGGGCACCTACACAGTGCCTCTCCGCACCCAGGAGTATAAATGAATACCAGCACATTTTCAGGATAGCTTGATGGAGTGCTGGGTAATGACCTTGTGATGGTTTAGCTTCTCAACTAGGGGGGAGTAGTGATTCTTCAAGTCACGTCATGCTATGGAAACCAGGACAAGCTCTAGCTATGTGGGTCCCTGGGCTTGAGTAGACCTTAACTACCTTTATGTTCATTTGGGATAAAGTTACTTTCAATTGACCAATTTACAAGGAAATTTGTGGCAGTCAGTAGGAAAAATTGTTAATCTGGAGTAAAAGGGTTATGCAGAGCGCATGCTGCACAGATCCCACAGGTACTGCAAACCTGGTGTTGTGGCTTTGTTTATGAGAATGAGGGAAGAAGGAAAATGGCATAAATTATATGCTTTCAACATAGTAGCTTTGGGTCCCGAAGCTGGCCTTGTATGTGGGCTGTGTTTGTCCTGCTCTGGGGGATTTTCTATGGCTCTTGTTTTTGTTCCTGTACAAAAGCCAACAGTAAAAATTCCAATTTATCCAAGAAAGAAAGGAGACACCTGGCCAATGACCACTGCTGACTCCAATTCATCATTTTCATCATGATCATGTTTGTCACTAACCTGGGCTTGCTTTTACAGGACAAGAAGGATGTCAGGTTTCAGAAGATAGACATCCTATGAGGGTTGATGCATTTCTTTCAACAGCTTTAAGCCTTTTCATCTTGCAAATGACTCGTCTCATTTTGCCCATTAGATTATTTTTATCTAAAAAGTTGGCTTTTGTTAAAATGTTTTGTGACTCAGAAAACGTGAATATTTGGATAAAAAAATATAAGAACCACTACAGTAATTCCAGTATACTTAAGCCATACTTAATTAAAAGTGGGAACAAGTTAGCTTTTCTATTTGTATTGATTGGAACCTCACTACACCATAATAGAGTTACTTCTTAATTTGGGTGGTTGAAAAATTGAAGAACACACAGAATTCCAAGGTAGATGAAAAAACAGGACCAATCAATGGAAAGGTTAAGTTTAATGACTTTGTCTTCCTTTGATGTTTGTCTACCTTGGAGAATAATAGCAAAGATTCAAAATGACAGGCCTAAAATATGTGGGCCAAATTATCAATTTTGGCAGACACAATTTCAAATCCTACATTCAAACCCTGGCTATCTTTTCACAAATCAGGCTAAATTAAGTGGTTTCTTCCTGTCCTACTACACTTTCATAGGTAAAGTGCGGTGTCTCTAAAGGTGGAAGAGGTATATCTTCTTCACCATCAGTATTTTCATCAAGTTCTTTAATTGCTTGGTCTGACTCTTTATAATCCTTATCAGACTGAACATATGCAATCCTTTTGTCATTTTCTGCAGGTAGATTTAAGTCAGTATTATGAAAAATTGACTCAGAGTCAGTTTCACTCTGGCTCTTGATAAGATTTGCTGCAAACATTTCATTCTCAAGTTCATAACCAAATTTGAAGCGTATAAATTGTCGCAGATTGTCAAGAGCTTTCCTTAGCCTTGAGTTCTCCCTGTTAGAGTCCTCTAAATCTTGACTAAGGGAGAGAACCTGCATTTGCAATTCACTGACTTGTCCTTCAAGATCTTTGACAACTGATTTCTCATCTCTGGAGGCAGCACAATCAGAAGATGAACTCGTGGATGATACTGAAAAGTTCTCTGCAGATATTACCAAGCTGCTTGATTGTGAACATTCTGTATTTTTTTTCCCATCAACTGATTCAGTAGTCTTTTCCTCTAATTTTGATGAAATTTCACTCCGAACAACTTCCTGATTTTGCCTTTCTTGTAATATTTTGGCCTGCTCCTGTTTTTTCTTCTCTTGCTCAATTTGACATCGCTTCCATTTTTCTTTCAGGATTCTTTGCTGTCTACAATGATTGTTCATCTGTAACTGCAAGGAAACTAGTGCCTAGTTATAGGAGACAAAGTAATGGACTTAAATTAATGTCACGCTGGAAAACTGAATTCATTTACCAAGTCTCAAAGTTCAAATTATCCAAAGTAACCATTTGGCAAAAAAACTTGTTACCACAAAAAAAAACAACAAACAAACAAAGAACAAAATGTCTAGAAATGGTTAGACCATAAGATCTTGTTAAACACCAAGGCTTGGTCATGCTAGGACAGTGATTTTGATACAGTATGTTTCAGGTGGATAGTTTAGAAAAAGCAGGTTGGGACATGCATGTTTGAATGCCTAGAGAGCCTATTGTTCTGTGGGAGGTCATGGCTTCCCCTGGAAATTTTGTAGTTTTATACTAACACCATAGCATTTTCCTGCAGTCTGAGGTCTATAACAAATTTTGTGGCTTTGCTGACATTATAGAACTCAACCGATTTGAACACTTTTGACATAAATTATATGCTTGTTAGGAGTAAAGTGACATTTACAAGTGTAAAAGGTACGAACAGGGAAGCCAGTGTGTTTGAAGCAGGTAGATCTACCCACTATCTGCCTAAGCTGGGAAGAATGCTTAAAGTCCCTATGACACCTATTTTTTTAGCATTAAATTATAAAAACAGAAGTATGTAGAGGGTGTCTGGTAAGATTTGTGGGTGATTCTGATGCACCTTTGTTATTTTACGAGGTGATAAAAGTCCGAAATGGTATCAAACTTAGGCTTCCCGTATCTCTTTGGCCACGTTAAAGAGTACTGGAACCCGTGACGTAACGGTAGTAACACCAAGTTTATCAAAGAAGCAAAGTGAGTGTGGAAACTACTGTTTACAATCTTTTTAGCCAAAAAAATGCCATTTCGATGTGTAGTTTGGGGTTTTTAGAATACCCCTGACTCGATGAAGAATATTTCTCTCCACAAGATTCCTACTGTGATGTCATGGCGCCCAGTCCCTCTTTGCTCAGCCAGACATTTCATCTGCGGATTGAAGAGCTTGATGAAAAATTCAGGAAAGGGCAAAATACCACAAATGTTGCGAAAACATGTTTAAGAGTCATTACATTTTGCCGTAGAAACTTATAGAAAAAAATAAGTGTCATTGGTACTTTAAAGCATCGTTTTTGTTTCTTTACCCTTTCACTCCCAAGATCTTGTTTTCATTTGGTAATTCTCTTTACTGTCTACCATACAATTCTTATCATGTGAGTTTGGAGAATTTGGCATTGGATCAAGTTACAATTCCCTAATTGATATTTTTTCTTTCTTCTCATCACTTGTCTGCTTGACATTGTATTGATATTGTAAGGAGAAATTATCTTGTTACTAATGGGAGTTACTAATGGTTAATTTTTCACCTGTTTCACCTGAGTCATCTTAATAGCTTCCTGGAGGAATTCTAAATTATCATAAAAAACATTCAAAAGAAAACAATTAACACCAAATCTTTCATGTACTCTGCTACATAAAAAATATCAGTTTTGAAAGTATTACCTTTCAGTAACTATCAAAATTAAGCATGATTCATAATCATTCTATCTATTATAATACTAATCAAATAATTGTTGAATCAATAGTCTTTGGTTCAAAAGAGGGAGATCATAGGGATTATTACAAAGATATTGTAAGTCTTCATATTCTGTTCCATTTTCCAATTGACAAAATGTGGTATGAACAAAAAGGTGGCACAAGTGGCCCAGCCAAGTGTGCATACCTGCCATGCAACCCCCAGAGTACAAAAATCTGTAGATGTCTTCATGTAAACTGCGCGCGACAACCTGAACCGCACTTATTTCTATCATGTATTGTGCAATCTGATTGGTTGATTTCCAACCAATTACAATACTCATTAAATGTATATCAATTTGACTGCTCTGTTTTACTTTTTCAGATCGAGAACAGTTTAAATAAGAGCACCAAATCCTTTTTGACATCTCAAAAACAACTAAATTATTGAAAAAAAAATGAAAAAAGCCACGGCAGGTACTTCCCAGGAGATTTGGTGCTCCAACCAGGAGACCGGTAGAGTTGATGAAAAACTTGGACACTCCCACGAAAAGCAGGAGAGTTGGCAGGTATGCTGATGTTCTTGCCACATGTTGACCAAAAACAACTAAATTATTTAAAAAAAAAATGAAAAAAAGCCACGGCAGGTATTTCCCAGGAGATTTGGTGCTCCAACCAGAAGACCGGTAGAGTTAATGAAAAACTTGGAGACTCCCACGAAAACTGGGAGAGTTGGCAGGTATGCTGATGTTCTTTCCACATGTTGACCTCTTCTGTAACCTATCACTATACAGACCCAAAGCAACATGGAATATTAATTTTCTTTATATGAAAACAAACAAAATAAAACAAAATGTTGTGCATGTTGACTTCAACTGTGTCTGTCTTCAAATAGATCTTGACTAAGAGCCAATCAAAATGTATGTATAATTCAAGTTGTCACATAACTCCCATCATTCAACAAGGAATATTGCATTACAGGTAAAAGTGATACACACCCGCTAGGTTGAGCAATGAACATTTGCAAAAGGATAGAGTTGTAATATTTTATCATTCAGTTTATAATCCATTTACCCCCTCAAACCTGACCTAATGCCTTTTGATGACAAGTTATGGCATCTGCAAATTTTCTACGGTTGACCAAAGCCTCGGCTTTTCGGTCCTGTTGATGAGCCTAAAATGGATATAGTACGATGTCAGTTTACATTTGGGACTCAATTAGAAGCAATTTTCGATCGACGTTGATAAGGCAGACCGAAATGGGCCATACTTGGAAGTTTTACCTTCCAATAGAAGCCAACCTTACCCAGTTTAGAGGATAGTCCATAGAAACGATTCTGAGAACTGGAAAGAACCAAGCTCGACAGTCATTTACATGTTAATTAGCCAAAAAATATCATGAACGGAGCTCCCCCATTGTCCCCGACTGTCACTGGTCAGGTAATTATGGTGCGCATGGGCAAATGAATTCTTCCTCTGTTCATAAGGCTTGAGTCAGGTAGTCTTACAAAGGAAGGAACAGAACAGAATGCTGCATTCACAATATTCATGAGATAGGTTGGTAAAAATCTCATTTCTTTTGTTTCATTTATATAAGTGTAATTTACTTCATTGTATGTCCCAAAACACAGCCTTTTTTATTCAAGTCTGTCACATATCTTAAATATAAATAGAATAAATTTTAAGGCATGAAATTTTGCAGTTTTAATTGCTTTCTAAAAGTTTCCATTTATGAATAATGAAGGATTGGTTTTCCTAATGGTAAGGAAGATAATTTTTTTCTGCTCCCTCTACGACTAGCTGGTATTCCTCATATTTTACCTTATTATGGCAAGCTTTAACTGTATCATTTTGAAATTCTATGACTTTATAAAATTTGGACCAAATACCCACTGTATTCTCAAACCAAGAAATGTGATATAAATTTGGATTAAGAAAAAGTTTTTTTTCAACATGGGTGCAAAAGCAGGGAGGGATTATTTTGAAAATAAAAACTTTCGCCTTTTTTATTTCAACTATTCATTAAAATTGGAAATCTTACCCATTTTTGCCATTTTTTTCTTTAATCAAGAAAATTGAAACAAGAAACTGGGACCCCAACACTTGAACTGAAATAAGAAATTTGTCCTTTGTATTAAGAAAGCAGGCTTTGGGAGTGCATATCTGGGTTCATGTTTTACCACTTACAACTATTTCATGTACAGAAAAGACTTGGCCATTAAAAATTGTTGAAAAAATGATATTTTATTTTTTATTTGATAAATATTTCATAGGGAGCAATACTGCTATACAGTTCTTTTGTGCTAAAGTGGAAAGACACGCTAGATACAATTAAGGTTTGAACGAATAAGAGGTGAGGAGTAATGAAAAACAATGGAGCTTTACAGATCTGAAAGGGTATGATAGATTTTCTAGAGTCAATGATGTTGCAGTGAATTGCATCCATTTTTGCTAAATTTGTACCAGTCCTTTATCTTGTATCTTACAAAAATATTTTTCTAAAATGCCTTGAAATTTGTTTACATATACAGTTGATATATGCTAAAATACAATTATTTTATCATTTTTATATGCATTTCTATGAAATTATATCAGACTGGATTTACTTGAATGGACTTAATATGTATTTGGTTATGTTTGGTTATGTCATTGAGAAAAATTCTCCAAAACTTTTAAGTTTTCTCTTAAATCCTGGGTTGTGTTTGAATCAATAATTCAATTTTCAGGAGTTTTTAAGGTTTAGAAAAATACTATTAATAATAGTATTATAGATGTTTCATTATGGGAATTCAGGTAATAAAACCACATTGACAATACTATTTAGGCTTTTATACCAACTTGTGAAATTTTAAAATTATGTACAAAACATTTCTGATGCCTGATGGCAATATTTGTCTATGTGTCAATAAAAACTAAAAACTTGGAAAGCAATGCTTTATTAAGCATTAAAATAGACAAGGTATTTGAAGGAAATGTAGCAGATATTGACAACATTAACACTAAAAAAGAAAGTTGGATGTTCAGCTTTTTAAAATACATTTTAGGTATAAAATACATGATCTTTAATCCATCTTGTAAATCTGCCATTAATATGAGTAAAAACACTGTATTTACCAGGAATTCCACATTTAGGATTACCCCAGCTAATTATCCCTCCCAGGAACCACTTCTTCTTTTTACCTTTTGTATCACGGAATAGAAACCCTCCCCCGCTGTCTCTTTTGCAAGAATCTTTACGGTTACTAGAATACCCTGCACAGAGCATGTTAGATGTAACAAGCCATGTCTCACTCTCATAAGCCTTTTGACAGTTTTTATGAGAGACAACTGGCATGTCAACTTGTTGTAATTCAGTTGTATTCTTTTCTGTATCTGTGACACCCCACCCTAGCATGACACCCATTGTACCAGGAGTTACTTTGCGCCTCTGCTGCTTGCTAGGTAAACACACTGGACGTACATGATCAGTCATATTGGCTCTCCTTCTAAGTTTTATCAAGGCTAAATCCGAGTCAAAACTCCTCCAGTCGAAGTTTGGGTGGGGCACTATTTCTATACTGTCTGTACTTTGGACATGTGGATCCCTTAGTCCATATGTAATATCATGAACTCCAAGATGAATTTTGATACTGGAATAAAGCTTTTTTGTTTGCCTGTGGTATACACAATGAGCAGCAGTTACAACCCAGTTTTCTGCAACAAGAGATCCACCACAGTGAAAACGTTCAGCAACAATCAAAGCTACTTGCCATGGCCACTGACCAGGCATGGCTGTGCCACCTCCAAATATCCTTAAACGGGAATGATGTGTATTGTCATGGCTCAACCTGGAGACTCCACATATGGGAAGACAGAAAGGAACATCATCAGACCAAATACCATCATTTTCACAATGCCTTAGTCTTGGTCCATGGACAAAATAATGCTGCTTACAATGATATGAGACATAGTAAGATCCATATTGTTCAATTTTCTTGAAATAACCATTGTGAGGTTTTTCAGGATCAGGGCATAGACTCGGTGTTCCCAAAGAAATTTTTGCAGGATATGTTATTGGATGAATTGTTGGACATGAATCTGGGTTGCATTCTATGGCTTGTGAATTATTTCCTTCACAAATCATGTCACTATCAAGGCCATTGCATTTTCTAGTTCTCTTTTTTGTGCCACCACCACATGTTTGGCTGCAAGCTCCCCATGGAGACCAGCTACTCCATAATGCACAGGGTTTTACTTCACAGATGTTGCTTTCTACTTGGATGGGTCCTTCCTTGGCATCTGTACAGTTTCCGAGATGAAAGGGACTTAGTCTCCGTCTGCAGTACCTCAAACGGGTCTGATGTCCCTTAGAACAAGTTGTGGAACAGTGGGACCAACTTGTCCAAGAAGACCAGAAAGAATCATTTTGATCACATTGCTTGATAATGCAGCTTTTATACATGACATTTTCACCATGACAACCATCCCCACCAGCTTCTGGTTTGGGGTTGGTGCAGAATCTAAATTTCACCTGGCCTCCAGTACCACAAGATGAGGAACATGTGGTCCAGTTAGACCACATACTCCATCCACCATTCACTGGGCACTCTTTCTCAAAACAAGTTTCCACCTGTACCTTTGAATCTTGGCAACCTTCATAACTTGTATCTCCATTTCCACTACAATTTCTGAATCTATGTTGCTTTCCCAATCCACAACTGACAGAACATTGAGTCCAGCTTGACCATTCATTAGATATGCTTTGATTGGGACAAAGTCCTTGCAAGCAGGTCCTCATTTCAGTCTGATTTCCTCTGCAAGAAACAATGCTTACTCTTTCAACAGCTTCATGAGTTAAATTCTTGCACTGTCGTGTCCTTGTCTGGTGTCCAATATCACAGGATTTACTGCAACTTGTCCAGGTTGACCATTCTGACCATTCTATGTTTACAGAACATGCATGCTGACTACAATACTCAGTTTGGCTATAATTACCAGGACAATTTTTCCCTCCATGTTGTGCTGGGGGATTGTTGCATGTTCTTTTCCTTGACTTTGTACTGTTATGACAGGTCTTAGTGCAATCAGCCCAGTTTGACCACTCACTCCACCCTCCATGAATAGGACACGGTATTTGCTGGCAATTTTCAGTCTGAATAGTGTTTCCATTACAAGGTTGACCCCCATTCTTGGGGGCAGGGTTGTTGCAAGTTCGTACCCTAGACTTTCTACCAGTGGAGCAGCTTTTGCTACACTCAGTCCACTGTGACCAAGCTGCCCATTTTCCAGGAATGGGGCAAGGTGCTTTAGTACATGAAATGATTTCTGTTGCCTCACCAGAGCAATTTCTACCCCCAAATTGTGGAAAGGGATTACTGCAAGTTCTGTTGCGACTTCTTGTCCCATTTGCACACGTTTTGCTGCAGTCACTCCATGATGACCAGGTTGTCCATCCTCCATGGATTGGACATGGACCAAGGTCACAATACTTAAGATTAGAATAATTCCCAGAGCAGTTACGACCTCCATGTTGAGGTTTTGGATCACTGCAACTTCTAAACCTCACATTAGAGCCCTTTGAACATGTCACTGAACAGTGGGACCATGATGACCAGGTTGTCCATCCTCCATGGATAGGACATGGACCAAGGTCACAATTCTGAAGATTAGAGGGATTTCCAGAGCAGTTGCGACCTCCATGTTGTGGTGTTGGGTAACTACAACTCCTAATTCTCACCTGAGAGCCCCTTGAGCATGTCACTGAACAGTGGGACCAATTTGACCAGGCAGTCCATCCTCCATGGGTGGGACATGGCTCTGTATTGCAATTATGTTTTTGGGCTGAATCTCCATTGCAAATCTTCCCACCATACTGAGGAAGGGGGTTGGTACATGTTCTGTTTCTTGTCCTTATACCCCCTGAACATGATGCATTACAGCTTGACCAACTAGACCAGGCCGACCAACCACCATGAATTGGGCAGAAGCCTAAATAACACATTTCTGTGGAAATTTCGATTCCAAGGCATGGTTGTCCCGTGTTTTTGACTTGTGAGTCCTTACACGTTCTGACTCTCATTCTAGTTCCCCAAGAACACGTTACACTACAAGAAGACCATGGACTCCATTCGCCTTTATCTCTGCAGGGCCCTCTAGTACAACTGCGTGTTTCTTGTGAAGGCCCATTACAGGTGTTACTACTCAACCCAGTGAGAGAGTGTCGACAAGAACGAGTCTTTCTTTTCATTCCTGTTGAGCAAGATTTGCTGCATGGACTCCATTCTGACCAGGCCGTCCAGCTCGCTGTACAGGCCCGGCCGTGGCAGCTCTTTGTCTTTGTATCTCTCCCTTTGCAATTCTTTCCTCCCCTCCCTGGCGGAGGATTTGTACAGCGCCTTATCGAGGCTCGTGCACCGGCTCCGCAAGTGCTACTACAAGCACTCCAGGGGCTCCAATTTGTCCATCGACCATTCACGCAGTTGTACTGGTCATTTGCTACGCGCATAACGGACGTTCCTTTTAAATGCTCTGGCTTTGAACACGTTGCACGGAAAGCAGTTGAGGGGATGTATTTTGCTTTGAATCTCAACCAGACTTTTAACCAACGCAATTCGCAGCCACAGTGAAACGGATTATCATTAAGATAAACCTCTATACCTCTCTTCAATCCACCGAAAGCTCCTTCTGGAATTGTAGATATGTTGTTGTTTTGAAGTCGCAGCGTTTGTAGTTCTCTGAGGTCTCTGAATGCGTTTTTCGATATGTTCATGATTCTGTTGTCTCTGATTGTAAGCGTCTTAAGCGAGTTCTGGTAATGAAATGTTCCTATGCTAATGCTTGTTAAGTGGTTATTTGCTAGTGACAGAACTTGTAAAGAGAAAGATCCTCGAAAAGCATTTCCGGGGAACTTCTTGAGTTTATTGCGGTGGAGATCTAATTGCCTCAAGGACGGTAGATCTTGAAACAATTCCTCGGGAATGCTCTCGATGGCGTTATTATCAAGATAAATCTGTTGGAGGTCTCTTAATCCGTGAAAGAGAAGCCCTGGTAGTGACGACAGCTTGTTGAAACCAGCGTTGAAAGATTTGAGTCTCGCCAAGTCACGAAACACTGTCGCCGGAAAATCACGCAATTTGTTCGACCGCAAATTCAAGGTCATCAAATTTGTCAAATTTCTCAAAGCGGTCTCCGGTATCTCTGTAACCATGTTCCTATAAATTGATAAGAATTCCACTTCAAGAGGTATAGAGGATGGAATAGTAGTCAAACTTCCTTTGGAGCCACAGGACATAAAAAATTGGCTCGTAGTGGTACATTCGCATTCTCTCGGGCATTTGCTGCTTTCCCGCTTCAATTCGATGGAGAAAACGATCCAAAATGTTTTTGACAGGATAAGCAAACTCCAAACAACTCTGGAAAACATTGTGTCAGGTACGGCAACCTTCACGGGTTTACTATCAACGCATTAGAATGTCTCGTGAATGAAACTGCTGACCCGAGGAGCTGAAAACAAAAATACAACGTGAGGCACGTGTTATCTTCAGTGTATCGAGCAGGCGTTGTCTTGTTTAACATAAATCTCAACAACCGAAAGCCCCCCACTACTTTTGCAGACTTCAAACATGACCCTCCGGGCTAAGTTTGATAACTAGACAGTTTGGAGTCATTTTGGCTATGAGCCATCAGGCTGGAAGCAAATAAACCTCGTGCTGAAGCCATTAAGCTTGGGTTGAATTCGGAAATCTACATGCTTGTTTACAGAAGACTTGCATTAATGAAGTTTAATGTCAACTTCGTTTACCCTTGAACAAAGTAAAACCACGCTCCACTGGCGTTCTATAGCTCAACGTTTGTCTACAGGGATTTGTTTGATTCTTGTGTCTAGGTCCGGTAACTGCGATCTTCTCTGTGCTTTTGTGCTCAGAGCTGCTGGCGAGTCTCAGTTCACAGTTCCTTCAAGTGTCCTAGTAGTATTGTTAGCGAGTGGGTGACGATGGCAGTCATTTATCATCGAGTGCGAGAATCATGGATTGGTTGCAGCTTACAATAGTGGCATTACATGGCAATTTTACCAAATGATATTATATCTTACCTTTCTAAAACTAACATTCAAACCGGAAAAAGGACAAAAGCTGTTCCGATTAACCGCGATTGTAGTAAAGATATGTTTGTAGGATTCAGTCTAACATCTTATGACCCGATCAGTACGAAAGTCTCATTAATAGAGACAGCACGGTTGATGAATTCCCCATCCAAGGAAAGCAAGCAGCTTTTTTTAGTTTGGTCTGTCGGCTGAGCCTGATAGGCTTTAGCTTTGTTGTTCAAGAAACTGCGTTTCAAAGATGCTTTTGTAATAACAGTCTGCAAAAACTGGCCTGGACGACACAATAGCTTTGCTAATTGCCCACTAACAAAGGCGTTTTGTTATCTTAGATTTAATCTTTCAAGCACAAAAGAGCTTCACTTGGGATTTGATGCACGACTTGTCTAAATAAGAAACTCACAATCTAGTTCCTTGGTCAAATGACAAACAATTTCGTTTGTAAATGAAAACTAAACTCGATGTCTTGATAGTGGTTAGGTGCAGGTCTATTTCATACATACTGCCGTATATCAAAATTCCTGAGCATAAGTTAATTATAATTGCAGGTAGTTTTTTAAACTCAAATCCTAAGAACAACTATTAATTTTATTGTTGCATGTGGCCATTGTTTTAAGTGCCGCTCGGCAAGTCAACGTTATGATGGCAAGGTTTGGACACAAATAAAAGCTTATTAGGTTTAGAACACTATAGCATATATCGGACCGTACTTAAAAACTCTTAAGGCTGATAATAAATTTGTAAAAGGTGCAACAGAGATTTCAAATACGACATTTCTCTATGGGGTGATAGAAAGGGTCCTTTGTGCCAAACTGTCGTTTAGGACCACCCACCACCTCCAGGCAGTTGGTGAAAAACAGGTTACCCGCTACTTATTGCGTTATAATTGTTTGTACTCTTTTAAAACATAATTACCTTGAGGCGTTAATAGTTCTTGTAGGTCGTCACAAAAAAACAATGGTTTATTCATTCCAAGCACGTAGTATCTTTGCTATGGCGCCATTCGTAATTTATAAAGCATTCACATTCCCCGTGTACACGCCTCTAGGTCAAATTTTCATCTTTTTGGCTTGCAACAATGTGGAAATGTTGGTCTGTGCTTCTACTTTAAAATAACCTTATCACTTTTGTCTCACATTTTTTAGTTGTCTTCTTGCCCAGAAAATAGACAAATGAATTAGCATTAATTTTTACGACCTTAGATGTTTTGTCATACTAGTTAGAAGAGTGCTCTCTGTACGCAATAACTCGCAAGGATGTACATTCTTATAGAACTCTTCGCCAAAAAGACTCGCTCATCGCCAAGTACATAATATAGTCATGGGAAGGAGCTTTGAAAATTTATGACTCGGACTTGATACTTCTTGGGTCGTGTCTTTGCGATGTTATATTGCTACCGCTATATGATCAACTCCTTACCGTTTCATTTTCCGTTAGCCATTCAGACACTTGATCTTAGCAAGGAGATATAGACGGCGACACTCTGGCTTGAAATTGAGGGTCCTTCCGTTCTCCAAATAAACCGCAAATTTCAAAGTTTGTTTTTGAAACAACTTTAAAGATTGCTAAACGCCTTACCGCTTTTAACCGTTTCAGTGTTTAGGAAATTATAAGCTTATTCTCCAATTGCATTTGTTTTCAAAAGGCGCAATATTTTGGCCTATTTCTCAGTGTTACACCTCACTTCGGATTGAGCTTAAGAAAACAAGGACTACTTCATCTTAGTGCCTCTAACCGTCTAAGTGGATTATGTCGCCGACAAACCATTTAAGTATGTGGTTCATTGCCTCTAAGAGAATAAAAGTAGCTCAACATTAGACCCATCATTTCAGACGTTTAATATTTTGTCTTCTATACGCGAGAGAGAACTTCCTCCTGGACATTGAATGTTTTCTTTAAATTTGGGCTTCTAATCACTGTTTTTAGTTTGTTTTTCAAATTACGGTACTGGCCTAGTTTCAGTTACTGAAGAAATGATACTTTTTAAAACGGCTCTTCTTACACGCGCACATTGTTTAAGTGCACGCAAAATCCCATACCCTGCCCAGAATAGTTTCCAAAGAAAGTAACGGAACCAATTCGCAGAAATTAGCTCTATGGTGTCCTTTTGCGGCGTTTACCTCATTTACCTCAGTAAAGTCGCTTATAAGGGAGGAAGATTATTGCGGTTGAAAAAATTGAGTAGCACATTGCTGAGCTGTTTAGTTTTTATCCTCTTTTTTACCAGACAAGTGTTATTACTTGTCTCGTGACTTAGTAAATGTGCTTCTGAAAATTCGCTTACTTTCCTTGATTCTGTAACTCAGAGGAACTGAAAACTTTTAGTAACTTCCACCAGATAACCGTTGGAAACGGCCGAGAAGAAGTGCATGTTAAATCAAAATCAGAGGTTCTCATTATAGCGGCGTTTGTATTTGGTACTCAAATGAGAGGTCTACAGAAATAGTTAAGCAATATGTAGCAGGTCATGCGCCATATACTTTGTTCCTCACTTCAGAGAAGTGTAGAACTTTCCGCCCATTCTGTGTTAACTAGACGAGAACGAATAAGAGCGACGTGAGTCGAACGATATCGTTGAAAAATAATTCGTGTTTTGTAAATCCAGGTGATCAATTCGCTTCAGATTAACCTAAAGGAAGTCAAGGATCGCAAAGAAAATGAAGGAAGATGGTTAATTTTTAAGGTCAGTCGTCGAATAAGGGGGTTAAGCATTGATCACGAGCATGAGATAAAAAGTCTGAGTCCCTTACAGCGGTTCGATCGCGGTCATACAAGTCTCTCTAATCTCCCAGATGTTATGGTGAATCTTATCTGCTCCATGACCTTATGCACGCACGTTTTCTGCAGCGCTTGTAGCATAAGTAGTGTTTGATAGTATAGCGTTCTACTTGTTCGCTCTAAGTTTTCTTACATCAGGACTGCTTAATAGAAATAAAGAGGAGATTCTTTTGTCTACCTTTTAGAGTTGCGTTAACGATTTAAGGCTGAAAGCTTGCCCGAAATTTTCAACCAATCGGAACCAAAACTAAAGCCGATTGTGACTTGGTATCTCTTGTTTTCCCGCGCTTTTGGCAGGTTGCTTGTTTAGGTTTGAATTCTCATTTGTTCGTTGTGATATTTCCTTTTGTTCTGATTGGAGGTTGCAAAGATTAACCTGGTTTTGGTCTTACCGCTGACCAACTTACCAGAATTTAAATTTCTAACAGCACGACGAATGTCACACGCATCAACATTTTAATGACAAAGCTCGCCGAAGCTCTGAGAATTTATTCTACAAGAAGACTCGGAGAAGTTTTCTGTGTCCCATGCGAAAAACGTCTGTTGAATTGAACTCCGATTTTCATGTTTGTAATTTGTAACCATAGCGAGTTAATCTTCTTTATTGCCAATCATCCTTGTCTTTCTGTTGTTTATTATTTCCATCAGTTTTAGTGTTTGTCTATCTCTTACCAAACTGATCCTTCAGGGTTTCCTTTAGGTTTTAGTTAAATTTTTCTTTCCTTTTTTGACACGTTGAAGTAAACAAGTTGATATATCGTGACGTTAGGATTTTAAGTTCGTCGACTAAATTTATCTATCAGTACCATTTATAATTTTTGGCAATCGGCTTGTGTGCTATTTGGCCCCTATTGAATGTTGCCACTTAAAGATCATCGCTCTCCCAGTGAGCTCGTTATGAACCACAATAAACAGATTTACCCAACAACCTCGATTCGGTACCTTCGTGACAAATTTTTACGTTAGCTTAGAGTGGCTCACTCAACTGCCTTTTCAGAGCGCTCCCTTTGTAATTTTACATGTAGAATTTGCAGGTAAGTAGGAATAATACAAAGCAGTCAGGTGTAGAAATGAAAAATCATTTATTACCGTTATCGCGTCATGCGAATGTGCTAGAGTCAAATAGATCTCAAGTGTTTGAATGTGTCAATTCCCTTGGTGCAACGAGATATTGTTGTATAGCATTGTTAAGTTGTAAGTGTTTTATAAAATCAACAGAGCAATCAGGCGTTCAGGTGAAAGTTATCCCCTAACTATAGAACATACTTGTGTGGCACGCCTGAGTTGTGCGAGTGTCAAGTGTTTTATGGGTCCAATGGCTAAGGCTTGGTGCAGCGAGATTGTTGTATAATATTGTAAGTGTTTTATAAAAATCAAGAGAGTAATCAGGCGTTCAGTTGAAAGATATCCCTGGCTGTAGACCATACTTGTGTGGTGCGCCTTAATTGTGCGATTGTCAAGTGTCTTATTGGGCCAAATGAAGGCTTGGTGCAACGAAATTGTTGTATCAGATAGTCAGCTTTATTTTGAAAAAATGAAGAGAGTAATCAGCAGAACAAATGAAACATGGCTCTGACTGTACACCATGCGAGTGCAAGTTTTAAATATGGCTTAAAACTGTCTTAATATGCCTATTGCCCCCAGTGCGTCAAGATTGTTTATCAGTTTGTAAGCCGCCTTACTAATACAAGATAAGTTATCTTGTAAAAGATCAAGCATGTGCTTCGAAGAAATGTCCAATACACGCTTTTTACTACAACGCACGATTAGAATTAGGCTAAAAACAGCCGGGAATTAACCCTATGGGGTTAGAACTGATTTGCGGTCGCCACACCTACTTGTTTAAGGAATCCTTGCATCCACAGTGCGATTTACATAAGGGAAGTGCTGAGAGTTCAACTACTTTACGGAAATCAGAAAGCGAGAAACAGTCAAACGAAAGCTGAATACAAAACACTTCGACTTAAACGCACACAGCCGAGCCGGAGAATCATGTGTAGCTGAGCTAATCTTTGCTATTGATTTCACTACATTTTGGCTAGCATATAAATGTATTCTATTTACTAAGAACATGATCGATTCACCACAGTGACCTCTTACGTTTTTGTTTATATAGAAAGCGGCTTTTAAAACAAAATTATTTTGGCGAAAACCATTTCCGCTGTTTTGTTTACAAAAGGATTTGCTTTGCGTAGAATCTGAGAATTTTTAGATTGGAAATATCATGATACCGAAACCACAATCGTAAAACAATTTTGCAGTTTGAAAGAGTACAAGAACGATATCAGAAAAACACAGGTTCCACTTGTGTTGATAAATATTGAGGGTGAAAAAACACAGAATGTAGGAAATCACGAGGAATTCAGAAGACTGTATTTGAAAGCATAAAGCCTCATAAGGGCACAATGTCTTGGTAACGACGGAAACTTTCACTTAATTGAGACTGGCGAATGTTAGGGAAATTTAAAACTCATTCATTGGTTGTTTCACTCTACTCTCTTACTACTAATATCAACAGCTTTTTCAATGAAAAGCGGAGTTGAAAACTACAACCGTCGGAGCAAGTTTTTCTACTAAATTCTCAGTCAGATATGGCCTGCATTGCATTGTTTTTTTATGATGACCCTCAAATTATTTTTGAAAGGTATAGTTTTAAATGTAATCAACATGTCTTACCTAAGTCCTGTTGATAAGGTACAACTGTGTTGCACTTGGTTCGTATCAGGCCGTAGTGCACCGACCAAATTCACTCCGTAACCTCTCAAGGATATTGAAATGGCAACCACTCGACAGTGGATGCTATTTCAATATCCCAAGCTATTTGCTGCAGCTCGAGATGAGCCTAGGTCACATGACTTCCAAATTGCTTAAACGCCGCCGAGTCATACAATATTTATGACACGCGGACTACACCCTATGTCGTGTAAAGACACGCTGACTACACCCTATGTCGTGTAAACACTCCTTTACACCCTAATATCGGTATGTATATTCTCCATCCTGTTCTACTCACATTTCCAAAGGTGTAGCCTGCGTTGCAGCCGGACGTGTCACACAATTCCCGGTATAGTCCGTACTGTCTATACCGGCGGTTTAGACTGTCTGCAACGCAGGCTACAAAGGTGTTGACAGAGAGAATTTTTTCAAAAATCGAGAGCTTCTTTAGTTAGTGATCGTTTCCTCTATTCTCGTGACCTTAATGTTTGATTAAGGGGTGATATTGTAAGGAGAAGTTAGATTCTCGTCACTCTAAGAGGTCAAAGGGTAAACGAGACGCCTTGCTCCACCCAGATCCATTAGGCATTCATGTTACGTTACAGTGCCCATCCTATATCCTTGTTAAAAAGCCTGGACGTGCTGCTACCTTAAAAAGGCGCTGAGATTATTTTTTTCGCTGTGGTTAGCCTACAGATTCGAGCCATTTTGAATTTCTGCACTCGTTTCGGAGAAAACAAAACCACGCTCGAAAGAACAGAGATTTTCATTGGAGTTTTCATGACACACTTGATGATGAATTAGCGTTAAAAATGGTCTCTGCGTCGCGTCCCGGCGAGTTTCCCATCGCCTTATGAAAGGATTTGTCCATCTCAACCCAGAAGGAAAGAAACAGACTAAGACGTCCAGTTTCCGTTCTTTAAACGAGTTCTCTCGTGCACTTCGCGCAAAAATATTTAACTCAAACCAACAATATTGTAGTTATGATACAAATTGTTCTTTGTTTTCTGCAGGAACTTAAAAGACCTAACCTGGAAATGGAGTGATTGGCCAATCGTGTCTTTCGTGGGCTGCAAACGAAATTTGGGGATCCGACTCTGTGTTTAAGAATATTGAAACAATTTGAGCCACCTTGATTATGTCTCTTTAACATAGGGAAGGAAGAGGGAAGACGAAACTTGATCGCTGTTCTGTCAAGACTCTGCCACTCCGTTAGAGAGTTTTAACATCTTTAGCAAATGTCCAACTGCTGAAAATTTCTAAATTATCCGATAGAAATAGAAAATAGAAAAACAGCTTTCCCGAGCACTTCCTTTTTTCTGATTTCTCCCTTTCTCTTAGTTTTTGCAACCGAAATATTTGTTTAGCGCTTTTTGTAAGTAAATGAATTTTGAGAATAGTTGTGGTTAGTGGCCTCTCATCAGTTTATAGGCGTCGTAACTGTCACGAACTCACATGTGCGAAAACATTAGTCAACATGTTGTGTTGCACATTTAGAAAATTTTGAGTGATTAGAGCAAAGAATTCGTGCGAGACAGCAAGTTACGTGAAATGGTCATGTAATGTGATATTAATGAATAAAGGCTGATAGTTTCAAAAGAAACTGTTTGGGGCTGCGTCGGTGGGAGTAACGAAATAATTTGGATATATCAACAAAGTTGAAATGGTAAATTGGCCACCGTAACGATTACAAAAGCTGACGTTTCGAGCGTTTGCCCTTCGTCGGAGCGAATAATCTGATATTAGTTCAATGTGATGGTTTGATGATTGGATTGTAACAAAATGCCCGAGTTTACTACCAGAGACTATTATTTGAAAGAGCTATCTGACTACTTTGCTTGCTTCATCATTTTGTCGGAAAACTGCAGGGTCGTTGGATGGCATTTGTCGTGGCCAAATCGCGTGTAAAGAGCCCCGTGCGGTAATGCTTCGTTTGCTTCTTTTCAGCTCACTAAGAGACCAAGATAGAACGCAATGACGCGATTTGACAGTATGTTAACAATCTTGAATTGCTTATTCCAAAGGAGAATCCTGGCCTTAAAAATGGATTCGAACGATTGGTTCTCTCTTGTAGTAGTCACAACAACTAATTTTTTTTCAACTTTTACTTATCAAAACAAAAGCAAAGTCGACTTTAGCTTTACCTCGTTATTATTTTAACGGGAGATGTGTAGCGAAATAGTTCTAACCATTTCAAGTTCAAGATAACCGCAGCATTCACAACCATGTTTGCTTTCAACGTTCCGGCCAGACTTACGATGTAATATTCAAGGCGTTACTCGCGGCTCTGTCTTTTTGGGGCAACTTAACCACAACAGAACCTCTCCCGTCGATCCATTGACGTCATTGCTGGAAGTTGTTTCTCTCGGGTGGTTTCGCAATATTTTGGTCTCTATCAATTGTGGTTTTAAAACTAAACGTAGTTCGAGGCCCTTAATAATCGGGCTTTTATAGCCGCGGTTCACCTCCAAACACTCGATTTGAAATAAAAAGTCATGTAGAATCTGTGGCTACAACATATCTGTGACTTATTATATTAGCGGGTTAATAAGAATCTATAAGGGTGTCTCTTCTGAAGGATACGAAGAAATATGTAACTTCTGACTTAATTACGATCATTTAATGAGGTTATTTCACTTCCAGTTGGTCAAGAGCAGGCGTCGTTCTTTGTTTTGTCAATTTAGACAAGCCATGCTATGATTTTGTTACAAGACAACTATCTTTTCGGAGCACGTGACTAAGTAGTCATCAATGTTTCCATCGCGATAATGTGCTATTTACAACATATTTCTGACAAGGGGTGCTCCTGGGGACATCCTCTATTACGCGTTGTAGTAATTTCTTATCTTTTATATTTTAACTGAGAGGACCAAAGACATCAGTGAATTAAAAACACTTGCGATTTGCAACTTCATCCATCCTTTCATCATGTAAGAGTATGGCAACTATTCAGAACATAAGAGATTATGGATTCCCCATGTATATCTTCAGTTTTTGAAGTTAATTAACCATAACTGAGTATTCAGTCTCTACACTAATATTAGATAGTAGCGAGGACTGTCGTAAGATAAGCCACTACGCGAATCCTATTTGTCGGGCTAAAACTACAAAACAGTTATCTCACCTTTAATCGATGTTATCAGCAAATTACGGAGATATTCCAAACACAACCAGTACACGAAATCGCCTCTCTTTCGTATTTGATATGCCAATGCTTTCTGAAAGCAATTTAGCTGGCGTCAGTGTTATGTACTACTTACTCGAGAGATAACAGCCGTATCACTTGCAACTGAGGGATGTTGACGACTTAGGAAATGAGAATGTAAAGATAAATTGGGCGCTGCAGCTTATCTTCAACGCCATCTGATATTCTGGAGCACTAATGATATTTCCCGAATTGGCGAGGATAACATGATGGTCAAAATTAAAGGGATCAGGTCGTTATTCCTTCCTAGTGGCGAAGAAAGCGGTACATTTCGCGCTTCTAGGTCACGATTACAAAACAGTTATCAGTCATCACAAAATAGACGCGCGTTCATTGGTTTTCTTTCATGCCAATTGAGAATTAACACTGAATGCGTGCAGCTTGAGACGGAAGTTCCGCGATCTGGAGGAAGCCGGTCATTTATCAATAACCACAATCACGCTAACAAGCTGCAGATTTAACTGAATGCCTGTCTCAGCAGCGAAGAGGACTTAAGTCTTTTTTTAAATATCTTAATTCTAATAATTGGCTTGCAGGAATTGTGATTTATTGAGATTGATTTTGAAGTTATTTTCTTTTTTACATGTTGGTGATCACAAATCAAAGCTAATGATGATCACGACTCCCTTAACAATTTTGGTTAAAACTTTGTCATTAATGTTTTCACAATGGAGCTGCTTTTATTCATTTTCCTTTTTTCGTGTTAAGGCACAACCACACACACTTGAGAACTAAAGACAAGATCTCGTCTTACTGCCAAATCTAACCCTCTGGCAATATAGCAATTATGTTCTCTTGCCTCTGGCTAAGATCCTAAGTGCTCTGTTTCATTGTTCTTCAGAATGTAAACCATCTTCGGCGCACCTTTGTGAGAGTGGAAAGCAATTTCCTCCGCACAAAATTGACGGGCAAATGACCTTGCTTTCCGCAGGCTCGTCAGCATGATCCTAAGTACGAACTAAAGCGCTCTTATTTCTTCCCCTTACATCTCTACCTTGTTCTCCACGATCAAAACAGCCATAATCGAAAGAATCTTCTTCTTTAAAAAATTTGTCTCCTATTAGGTTTGCCTTGATTTCTTGGTATGTCAGAGTAATGATATCTGCTTCTTTGGAGGGGGCACTGGATTTAACACTCTAACAAAGCTGTGAAACTCCCCCGGAACTCACCTAACTGATTGACATGTAACTTCTCCTCACAACATAAATTCATCCAGCAAGTAAGAGAAGAAGATAAATAAACTTATCAGCTAAACTCTCCTGACAAATTTACAGGGAAAATAAAAACGATCCAAAGAGGGAATAAGCATTTATTAGAAGTTGAGCACTTAAAAGAGCTACTTCACGGTTGGTGCATTCTGAAAGATAATTTTAGGCGACATTTTTTTCAAGATGTCATCTGTAATCTTTTCCAATTTTGCCCATTCTTAGTCCTTCTTTGTTAAGTGTTATCTGAGTAATAGTCTTCATGCTTCCCGTATTTATATTGTGTGGTTTTCTTCAATGTGACGATGACTTTGAATGGTGCAGTAATCAGAGCGAAATAAACTGACATACGTATAGGTCTGTGGGGTCTGACAAAAACTATTATTAATCACGCTACCATCAAAAGGGATCAATTAAAGTTAATTATCGCACTGATTTCCTGAGGTGTCTCATTCTTTTTAAGCTTGCAACACAGAACACGTGACTAACAACAGCTTTGTCTAATAACGTCTGGAACATAACCATGCTGTTCATTGCTAGGTCGTACTTCGTTTATTTCATCGTCGAAAGTATAGTCACCACAACTCTACTCTTTATTTTAATTCTTCCGGTCGGATGCGCTTTGATTGGCTCGACTGTAACCTCGTTCCCAGGGTCTCTCATCTTCCCGCCCCGTGGAGCGAGCGAGGGGTCTCTCCTCGCTCGCTCAAGGGGGCGGGAAGATGAGAGACCCTGGGAACGAGATTGGCTTGACTGTAAGTTTCGGCGTAAAAATACAGCTGAGAATGGGCAAGGTCTGTAGCTAACCACACACGAGATCGAAAATATTCAGCAGTTTAACGTACACCTGTTCATAAATCATGACTCAAGTCTGAAACATCTGCTGTCGTTTATTTCCGTCACCCTGACAGAAAATGCGTTACGTATAATGTTGAAGACTACTGCCATGTGTTCATTGATGTAACTTGTTCATCTTACGGTTCATGGCCAGATTCGTCATAGGATATCCTGGTTATCCGTTTCCACACGCGAGGCGAGCTTGTTCCATGCCGGAAAATTTTCGGCTGATCGCTGCGTTCTTTCTACCAACGAAAGGCCACTATCGTTAAAATTCAAAGTCATCACTCGCTGAAACATCTCTGTATCTTTTATCTGGAAGTCTACTTGACAAAATTTCAGTAATGTTTGCTTTGGTAGAAAGAAGTAACAGAGCTATAAGATTCAAAGTGTCTCAACTGTTCTTGTAGAAAGATAGACTTGTAGTTGACAGTACGATAGAGAAAACTATGGGCGTCATCTTAAGTTGGAACTAGTGGACCACATGAAAATGATTCCCTATAGGGTTTCTTTTTTTGTGGGGAGGGGGTTGAAATTTAGAAATTGACTTCTCTGACTGGACAGTTCTGATAAATAACAAAGTATGAAAAATGACCTGTCTGGAAAGTCAGTTTCAAGTCATGGTAAGAACCCTAGGTCCTATCACATAATGCAGCAACCGTTGCATAGTGATCCCTTTAGCAGGGTGTTTAGGGAAACAGAATGTCAAACATGATGAACTCGAACAATATCAGTTTGCCTAAACTTAGTTTTACACAACTTGCATGCACTCTCATTGTCACTTTTTGGTGTTTCTTTCAGAAGACATGATCGGCACATACTGTGCTGACATGGCAAGTGAAATATGGACTGTGATGACAGATCTTGATCACATGACACACATAAAACAGTTGGTTTCTTCTTGATGTGGTTTTTCCAAGTCTCTGAAGTTTCTGGTGCTGTCCTCTTCAGTCTTGCTCTCAAACCTATTCAAGCAGAACACAGTATTAGTGTTATTAGTAAAAATCGAACAGTATTAGTGATCCCAATTTCCACAAGTCAGAGTAATAAAGGGCACTCAGTAGTTTTGGAAGCAATTGAGACATAAACATGTGCTACTAGGGAACACGAGAAAATGGACAAATTTTGAGCTTGGTCATCAATACAGAAAGATGTTTTTAAACACGAAGGCGCACTATAAAAGGAGCCTTAGGTCCCATCGGACCATTTGTGAATCAACCGTCATGTGATGTAGAACTCTTAGAGTCAAGTCAGCTTGAGCTACAGCTACTCCAAAGCAGTGAACAGCAGGCACATTCCTCAAAATTGTTTTATGTCTACATCACAATACAAGAATTTTTGAGATTTGTATAGCCTGTGTACAGCCACCCCACCCCCTTGAAAAAATCGGGGAGGGAGCTCCCCGATTTTTTCGAGGGGATGGGGCGGCTGTACACAGGGTAAGATTTGTATTTCCTTTCTCCAATGGAAACTGTCTTTATTTGTGACGGTAAATTTGAGATCAAACTAGGTGGTTCACATGTTACCTCATGCCACCACGCTGGTGGAGGTAAACAATAGATATCTCATTAGCTCCTTTTGTTCATCTACCAGCATTTGAATTTGACCCGCACACGTCAACAGTGAGTGACAAATGAACCTTGGTCTTCCAAGGGAAGACTTCCTTATATAGCACACCTTCATGTTTAAAACATTGGTCAGAGTATTAGCCATGAAGGTTTGTAACCTGGCCAGTGCTGATTATTTTGACTGCATGTTCCACCAAGTAAGCCACAGAGATCTCATTAGTGATAGTAAGTGCCAAAAGTCTCTGCATGCTGAACTTATGTTTGAATTTCCGTTGCCCCATTTGTTCACAGGAATAGGGGGGACTTTAAGGTAACTCATTAGAGACTAATTTAATTTACAAGACTTCTATTTACTTCAGTTGAGTGGAGTACTGACTAAAGAAGAGGATAAATTCTAAGCTCAGACATTGACAAAAGGAATATGTAAATAATTTGGTCCACACTTCTAACAAAATGTTCATTCAATTTACCTTTCTTGGTCAAAAAACTGCCATCTTTCCTAATGTATTGTTTTATCAACATATCATCATTTTGTATGTTCAGTCAACTTAACATAATTTTCAAATCTGATTCACTCTGTGCAAACAAAATGCTCACTGAAGTATATTACCTTTGCTTAGCTCTTCAGTGGAAGATTGTGTCACTGTTAGCTTTTCATGATTGACTGTTCTATTTCTTGTAAACTTGTGAAGTCCACTGAGTGTCTGAATAACAGCTGAATCAAGACTTCTGGTAACTGCCTCCTCATGTCCAAGTTCCACTTCTACCAAACAAAGAGAAGAAAACAATCCTTTTTGTAATTTTATCTTGTACTATACCCTTTACACCCTACTATCAGTATTTATATTCTTCATACTTTTCTCTAAACATTTCCCTAAGTGCTCACCATGAGAATTTGTATAACAATAAAGAGTTTCTTCATTTGGTGATCATTTCCTTTATTCTCATCATGCTAGTCACTCTTAGAGGTTAAATGGTTCAAATAAGAGATAATTTTATGCTCAAACTAGGTATCTTGCATAAAAATGGTTTCTCATGCAAACCTCATTTTTTATGGGCCATCATAATCACTATTAAATGACAATTAACAATTATTCGCCAGAGGCGAGGAGAATATCTTCGAATAATCCCCAAGATGAAGTCGAGGGGATTATTCGACAATATTCACCAAACCTGAGGCAAATAATTGTTTTAGTATATTTTCAGAGCTGAACAAAAGAGAAATTTCTAAAATCATAACATTTTAGTAACATTTATTACCGGGTAACATTTTATTTTAACATTTTATATAAACCGCATGGAGCGGTTTATATAGCTTCATATAAGGAACCGCTCAACCAATCAGGTTGCTGGAAACTCTTTACTCAGCTCTGAAATTATACTAAAGAAAAATTATAACAACCACCCCATGATTCAGCCCTAGCACTCACTTCACCCAGAAGTGACCAAACTAGTCTCATTACACTTCAAAGTAAGTATCAAAGTAATGAGAAGAAAAAAAATTATTTACTTCTAAGTATTGGCATGATTTTGAGTGAATTTAGAATAAACAACCAAGAAAAGTTACTAGAGGAAAAAAAAAACCATCTAACTGCACCTGTTCAAGGTACATACACTTTGTGCTTACCTGACAAAAATGTGATTCCTTTTTGATAACCATGAAAAAAATTTGATTTAGCTTTTCAATATTATAAAGAAGCAAAGCACTCAAATCACATGCAAAAGTAAGTTATTCAAACCTTACAAATTTCACTACCATATAACTTTTTTAGCTGCAAAAACAAAAAAGCTCAAAGCCCAACTAAACAGTTTTCACCTTCTTTTACCCAGGATTAGCTTTCTCCTGCATTGTGTTACCTACAAACTGCATTTCTTTTGCCAATAAGAATGAAGAAAGCTAACATCAAGCAAAATATAGGACGTACAGGGCAGACCTTCAATCTTTACCACAAAACAAATGGGGAAAGAAAGAGCCAAATGACTCCGTAATTCTATTTTGAAGAGGTTCTTGAAGGAAGTACCTTTTTGTTCCGACTTGAGCTCACAGAGATTTGGAACTCTTTGCTGATATCTTGCACCGAATGAATGTACATCATCACAAACACCTCTGACTTCATTGCTCCCTGAATGGGCTTTTGTAGGACAGTCTTCTGAAGGTCCCTTGTTTGCTTTCAGTAATTTACTCTTAGTTTGATTACTTTCTCTAGGTGACTTAGTCTCCCTTCCAACTGTTCTTCCATGAACAGAATTATTTAGTCCGGATGACAGAAGAAACTGGTCAATCCTTACTTTAAGTGAACTATTTGGTAGTGGCTTGGAAAATTCTGAAAATAATTTTCCAGTAAAGGGGTCAGATGGTAATCGTCCCCAGGTTCTCTCTGCTATAATGTGCTTTTCAAGTGTAACTGAGTCTACATTGTGACCAGATGGGAGTAACAAAGGTACTGTCATGATTTCACATGTAATTGGATCCATGAAGTCATCTGGAATGGGGTTACAGCCACAATTTGTAGCAAGCATTGAACTACAGTGTTTGGAATCTGCCTTTATTATATTTTGATCCTCAGTGGTAGCAGTCTTACCGTGTATTCCTCCTTTAATTTTTTCCTGGACTTGTGATGCGTATTCCAAAACTCCTGGCTGGCAACAAGCAGATGGTTGTCCCCAAATTTCAACTTTGCCAATAGCTGGTACACTTGAGCCACTTAATCGTGCAATCTTTAATGCCACATGAGTAACCTTTCTCAGATAGGATAATCGCTGAAATTCTCCTTGCTGAATGTCTGATCCCCCTACTTGGTGTATCCCTTGAACAGGGAACCTTTCTTGAAACAAACTGTTTTCCAAATGAAATGTTCTACCTTCTCTGTCAGTCAGCCAAGCAACTTGTGAGAAAAAGTGCGAATGCTCACCTTTCACAGATGTAGGAGTAATATTCAGTTCATAATTGTGGTTATGGATAAAAACTTCTTCGGGTGATAGTTTCTGGAAGTTTCTGGCTGTAGTTTGCTGACAATTGTTCCTTTTTTCTGAGCTCAAAGGGAGGCCATTGTTAATGTTAATTCTTTTCTTTTTAGAGAACACAGTCGATTTATGGTTAGTTATGTCGCCTTTCATATGAGGATTGCCTTTTGTTGCGATTCCCGCCACCAGAACAGCTATACCAGATGAAATTTGAGATCCCACTTTGGGCTTGATGATCATTGATTCTACGTGAACTGGGAAAGGAAGTTGAAAGAGTAACAGAGCTGGAGGTTTGATAAAATGAGCAGCCAAAAATCCTTTTGAATTTTCCCTGAAATCTGAGCTTACGAGGTTTTGGACAGTATATCCATCGGAGCTAACTACATCGCAGTCGGCTATGGGCTTAAAAAATGGATGGAGGAAATTAACGTGCATCTTCGAAAGTTTGAGAAATAACAGGTCTTAATTGTGTAACCAAGCCTTTTTAAGTCTGAGTAACCAGGCCATCCAAAATACAAGATGGCGGCAAAAGACAACCCTCTGGAGATAGCTGAAGTTGTGGAAATTGTTCTTCGTTTTCTGTCTGGAAGGTGCGTATCAGTAGCTGCACAGGTTTGTCATCTCTGGCGTGAAACAGTGGAGAGGATCCGAAGATCAAGAAGAAAATGTGCCGTCTATTTATCTCCAATTGGCTCGAGCTTCTCTGAATTTTCCATGGAAGCACTGGATTTTATAAGGCAACATCATGTCGAACCAAGAGCTTTGGTTCTCTTTTCAGGACAGCTTCCTTCATCTAGTGCATCATTTATCAATAACTTTTTACAGTCAGTGCGAAGCTGTCTCCCAGTGAACTGTCCGTTGATTGGCTGTACTGGTCTTGGGGTGATCGGTTCAGATCGGTTCAGGCAATGGGGTCAGCCACGAGAAATAGAGAAGACTGCTGGCTTGTCTCTTTTGATGTTTCCTCGCTGTGATGGTCTTGAGATCCGGGACTTCCATATACCTCTTCGCAACAAGTATAAGAGAATAAGCGGTGTCAAATCGTTTCTTCCTGATACGGACCTGCCGGTTCAGTTGGTGATAGTGTTGGCTCATCCTTTGTCTCTTGGTAAACTCACGCGTTTGACCAGGGCATTGAGGTCGAAGTATGGCGAAGACGTAAGATACACTATCAAAATTTCATTGAGTTAATCGTAGCGATCATTTGTTGTTGTGTTCTTGTAATCTTCATCCGTTACCCTTTAAAGCCCTTCCTCTCCTCTTTCTACGTCCGATCTTTCTACCTACTTCATGAGCCCTCCCTAAAGCTTCCAGTCTTCTTTTTATGCACAAAGCACAGACATTTTTCAGTGTTGCTGTGCTACTATCGCACACCTTTCATTTGAAATTACTTTCATTTGAAATTGCTTTCATTTGAAATTACTTTCATTTGAAATTACTTTCATTTGAAATTACTTTCATTTGAAATTACTTTCATTTGAAATTGCTTTCATTTGAAATTACTTTCATTTGAAATTACTTTCATTTGAAATTACTTTCATTTGAAATTCCTTTCATTTGAAATTACTTTCATTTGAAATTACTTTCATTTGAAATTTCTTTCATTTGAAATTACTTTCATTTGAAATTACTTTCCTTGCATAGCAAGAAACGGATGATATTTGAATGCTTTACTTTGTAAGAACACATGATGCAAAAGATCATAAAAAACTGAATCCCAAACTGAGAACACGATAAAAATTAGGTCCAACAACAGGCTTAGATGTAAACTGGAACCACTTTTCCCTCGAGGTGTCTTACATATGTGTTATTACGTGACGTTTCAGGTGGTTATTGTTGGAGGCTACAGTGACAGTTATTTATTCTACAACACAGAAGTGACGACTCGAGAGATCATTGGCCTTGTCTTAGCTGGAAATTTACAATCGTCATCTGTAATAATCACAGGAGGCACAAAAATGGAATCTATGGATAATCTCTATGATTCAATTCACAGACTTGAAAGCTCCGTTGTACCGAAAGACGACAGTTTTAGTTTGATGTTTTCATGTTTTTCAAGGGGTATCATGACGTATGGATATGAGAATGCCCAATCGTTGGCATTTAACGACACATTTCCTGCTAAACCTCTCGTAGGATTTTTTGGAACGGCAGCGTTTGGATGTGACAGGGAAAAATTGAAGGCTAGGGGTTTAAAACCCGGAGGTCGAGATTTCTTACACGTAGATGCAACGGTTCTCTGTTTAACTTCACTAGCACCGTAAGGAAAGACTCTTTAAACGAGTGTAGGTTTAGTTCGATTCGTTACGGTTTATTTCAAGTCTTCGTTTGATGAAGTGGTAAAGGGAATACCTTTGGAAGTTGATCCATCCATTACTTTTTCCAACACCTAAGGGTATACTCTTTTTTTCAGACGATGCATGTATTTTTCACTCGACTGATACCACTCTTATCACTTTAAACAGACGCATAGCACTAACTTGCATTTGTACCATGACGCCTGTGCGATTGTCGATATGGCTTATTTTACGGAAGAAGACTTCATCGTCCTTTACCTCTACCCTCTAAATAGGCTTCCGCTGGCGAAGTTTTTCGTTTCGAAAGAAACTGTTGTACTGCGTCATTGTACTTATTTAAATGTCGACAATAAAGGTAGATTGACTGTGTAAGTGCCCTATAGCACGAGTTTCTGTTCACTGTTTGATCTGTCTGATCGTCACGCGCTTCAATATATTTGATAAAAGGCCCTTTGATCAGTTTTTGGTAAGCACTCGTGCTCGTAAGGAAAGAAATTAGGAAGGAAAGGAAGGAAAGGTTCAATTGCTATCAACTCTCGCCAGATCCGGCAATGATGTAAGTTTGATTTACCTGAAGCATTTCTTAATCTATCTGCGTGTCCCTAATTTCTTAAATCAATTTTTAGTTTCACGGTATAATACAATAATAAAGAAGGAGGCGTTCCCAAAGAAGTTTGGTGCGATACGTTGTATTTATCAGTGGATTTTGTGCGGTCCAGCTAGCGGTGGACAAGCGCTGCTATAGACTGCCTTAACGAATTTTGACGCGCAAATGTTTGTTAACCTTTGGTTGGAGCTTCGACCTTTGTAGGATTGTGGGTGGGCTCTGTGTTAATACAGTGGACTTAGGTGACGATGTCTTTCCTGATCTTTTCACTGCATTGGAAAAATGTGAACTGTAAAGCTGAACAGCATCTAGGCTGAGGTGTTGACGGCCTGTCAAGGTTTTTTCCAATCATATAAAAACATTTTTTTTTTTTTTCATTAGTTGCGCCTATTTGTCATCAGATCAGCTCTTCCTCTTTTATCGACGGTGTGTATGCGCCTCGAAAGGGCTCTTCATGCAGTTACACCTCTCTCTAGCTTCTTGGAATGTCGGCTGTCGATGTCCCTGGGTGCAAAATTATCTTAGGAATTGCTTAGTTCTCGGCCAGTTCATTTTTATCTCACTGGAGTTAAAAATATATCGACCAGGACGGGGGGGGGGGTGTTATTTACCTCTAGAACTTATCTTTGCGATAGTGTGGTACGAACTGCAAGTTTGTTAGAAATTTTTTTCACGCGGTAATCGTCATCGATCCATGTACCAAACAAGAGTAATTTGTCTTATATGAATAAGATATTTAGCTTGAAACTAAAATTGCATTTCCCTCCTCTTTATCAGGCGACAGCTAACCTGAAATCCCCACCCCCCCTCCGCTCCCTAACCAACCGCTTAGCCGGTTGTACTCATCCCCAGTGAAAACAGGAATCCTCCCTGCATAGATGGACGAGGTGAACTGGATGCATTCCAAAACAAACAAGATGGCGGGTTGCGAGCATTATATAAGAAAATGTTCTTTCCTGGCACCGTGTTGTGGCAAGATCTACCCCTGCCGTTTTTGCCATGACAATGCTGAGAAGACCCATGACCTAGAGAGGAAGAGTGTTCAACAGATCAAGTGCAACCAGTGTGGTAAACTGCAAGCTGTGGTCTCGCATTGTTCAGAATGTGGAATCAAGTTCGGATTTTACTTTTGTGAAACTTGCCGTTTATACGACGACCGGGACAAGGGCCAGTTTCACTGCGATCTTTGTGGAATTTGTCGCGTCGGTGGAAAAGAAAACTTCTTCCACTGTTCAATGTGTGATATGTGCTATCCAAACAGTATAAAGAGGTCTCATGTCTGCATTGAGCAAAGCTCGAGAGCGGACTGTCCAATTTGTATGGAGGGCTTACACACCTCTCCTGTCCCTTGCCAGGTGTTGAGATGTGGCCATTTATTACACCAGACGTGTTTTCAAGAGTGTTTAAAGTCACAATTACGGCACTGCCCTCTTTGCTCGACGTCGATGGTTTGAGTTACAGCTGTGTGCATGTTAATTGCAACGTACTGAGTGCATAATTTATGGATCACAACGCACAATAGTTGAGCATAGATGGAAGTGTGGAGCCAAAATAAAACATCCTTCAAGTGCAGTTCACATTTTACCAGTTACGTCTGGGAGCCAAAATTAGCTTTAATGCAGATTCGAGGGAAATATTTCTGAATAACCTTATTCTATTCTAAAAATAGCATTAGTCTCAAAGGTAAACCACAAGCAATGAAGCTAACGAGTTTCAATTGAATTCATTTGGTTAATGCTTATTTTGTATTGTAAATCGTGGAGCTTCTGATTAATTGACAATCAGTTTATTTGGCTTTTTGTTGTATATATATACATACAAATATATCTGTATATTGAAATATTTCTCAAGAAATGTACAGAATATTTTGTTACCCAGTACTTTTTACTGGTTTGTGTGACAACATGCATAAATGCTGACAACAATACCCATTTAATAAAATTAGTCAGTAGTGCAAATTATTTTACCTCATTTATAATTATACTTTTTAAATATTTAGCAGTCTGGTAAAGTCCCCCACACAGTGTTGTAAAGCGCCATGAGCTCAGAATATGAGTGCTATATAAATAGAAGTTATTATTATTATTACTATAAAACTTAAGCCAGTTACTCAATGATCTTTAACCCCTTAACCCTGTGAATCAGTTATGATGATTTGGTGTTACATAAAGACAACAACATTCACCTGATAAGTTTGAGTATTCTCATTACCTGTTTGCTGGATAGTGTATAGGTATTATAGGGAGAAGTTACGTGTTAATCACTTCTAGGAGTAACAGAGTTAAGCCAAGCTTACAACAATTATCTTTATGGGGCTGTTAGTCCTAATGGAAACAATTCTAAGCAAAGAGCAGAAACAAGCAGGTGAAAATGAATCACAGTCACCACTGAATAACAGGGCCTTGAGAATGATTTTAGTAAGATGTCACGCTTTTTTTCAGAGAGGCTTTCTCCTTTAAATGAAAACAACAACATCAACAACAACAACAACAATAACTTGTAACAACTGGAGGCCCAAAAGAGAATGATGCAAACAGGACACTCAGACCCAAGTAAGGCACTCACCTAAGGGAATGCAATTTTGAAAATACACAAATATAAACAAAGTACAAGTTAATGTTAATATAGTGACATGGACAATCCTGCCTCATGATTAAGAACAGCATAAATGCAGCTTGTATTGTGTAGGTCTTGCACTTCACTGCTTGCATATTACTGAAAGGTATAATAGTAATTTCACTACCTAAATTCAAAGAAGGGTATGCATATATACCAAACAAAGGTATGTATATTCTCCTTAGTGTTTTCTTTACAATTCGTATCACGCTGACGAGGAGAAATTGAAAAATCAAGGGTCTCTTTAGTTGGTGATTGTTTCCTTTTATTCTTGTGATTGTAAAGTATGATTTCAGGTGATATTGTGAGGAGAAATTACATGCCAGTCACTGTTAGGAGTGAAAGGGTTAAACAATGAAAAAAAAGCATGGTATTTTGATTGTTTACATTGATGAATAGGTGAATAATTCCCAAGGTAATATTATGTGGTGTTTAAATGACCTCAGTTGTCATCTTATTCATTTTAGCTTTTCTGTATAGAAGCAAGATTTTAACAAATTGCACTGTCTAGCAATAGACAGTTGCTTTCAATTTAAAACAATTTAAATTGAAAGCAACTGAATTTGTTTATTTCAAAAGGACCACAACCATTATAAGCAGCTGCATCAAAATAAATTCCACATTTTAGACTGAATAAAGTGATTTATTTCTGCTTTAATCAGAACTCAAACAGAGGTCATGGTAATTGCTGTCATTGTTGTTGAACTCTATTCTTTGCTTGGTTTGTGTTAAGGGAATTTAAGCTAAGATTACTCCATTCCTCTTGAGCTGAAAATCACAAAGACATGGAACAATTTCATGAAAATAAGATATCTTTTTCCTAAACATGATTTAGGTGAATAGACTAAAAGAGTGCAAAAATAGATTACACTGATCCATTTCCCAGGATGACTATGAAAATTAGGTGATTAATGCAAAACTGTCTGTGCAATGCAAATCAGGTAAATAGATAATTAAACTGCTGGTAACAAGGCAAATCGCTTTTTCACGAAGGATCTCGGCAGGCTGGGATCTAAAATCCATGAATCTGATTGGCAAGGGCATGCTCATGGCCAGCTCATTGTAAGTGGGTTTTTCTTTCTCCAAAAAAAGTCCAATTATCACTTTGACATATTTTTTAACCATTTTCATTATTTTTTATTGATAATTTTCGTTTCTTCGTTTCATTCCTCTGCTTTGTCAAATCATCCTCCCTAAAAAACAACTACAGAAAATGATGCCAGACCCATTTTAGATTGTGTTCTGCTTGTGTGTGTCTGTGTATGTGTTCTTAATTTTTTTTTTTTTTTTTGTCATACGTGGTGAGGAACAAGTTATCACACTTAACACACTGATGAACAGGAAGATGAAGTCAACTCACTAAAACTGCAAAACACCTATATGTGGATATATATACCAGTTAATTGCCATGGAATCACATACTTGATTCAGAATTAGAAGAATTTTGATTAAATGGGCTCATACGATTTTTTCGGGAAATTTTTTTTTGTTCACAGAGAGAACTAAAATTGCCCTTTCTATGTTGTCTATTCTAACTAAGTTAACCAGCAGACTACCGACAAAAGGCATTTCAAAAAAAGGTTAGAACAATACTCAATAAACTCTTTTCTGCTAATATCTGTGCCAGGGACTACTCGTCTTCGCGTTTAAAGAGCATCAGACGTAAAAAACTGGCATTTTTTTACCTATTATTAGTCAGAGGGTCCCCCTTCCTGTTTATGTGTAGCGTCATTTGGCGATTCTTTTCCCGTGAATCGCGATTTGATTTCTTCTTTATTCGTGAATTGTTATTAAAGGTGATAAGATCTTTTCACGTTCACGTGAATTAAATTTTTATATAAACTTGACTCGTAAATGATGAGCTGAATAAAACGTGATTTATGAACCATTTTTTTCTTTTTTTTTTTTTGCGTTATGAGTTATGGTTTTGAAAATGTATTTATTACACGACTCGGGCAGTCAGAGAGCCAATAAATAAAATCAACCAATCAAAATGCTCTATTGCCGGTCAATATTCTCTCAGTATTGGACCTGAGGCACTTGGGTCCCTTTGAACTTCAGTCGTATAATAAATCTCTTATTAACCAAGCTTGCTCGGGACCGTACTGGAAGAATATCGGCCCTCGGTCTTTTTTGTACGGACCTCGCTGCGCTCGGTCCGTACTGTCAAGACCTCGGGCCGATATTCTCCCAGTACGGCCTTCTCGCTTGGTTAATAAGAGATATGTACTGCTCTCGAACGTTTGTGGTAAGGTTTTGACCAGGATTTTGACAGGATGTGGACTTCATAAGGATCGATAAAAGTTATTTAACAGACTACTCATGATCTTTGAACAAATACGATAAGATATTACGTGATGCGCGAAAAGGCCGAATGTTTTTTCATGACTGAGTTTTACAAAGGGGTATAGTGGCCCCTCTAGTAGGATACATCACTTTTAATTGTTCTAGAGAGATCAATCCCCAGGAAGCAGACATTACAAAGGACCGGTTAGACACAGGGGTTCACTTTCCTTTATAAGTGACAAAAAGAAAAAGGTAGAAAGGCGCAGTAGGTGAACGAGACAAAGCGGAAAAAAGAGTTTTGATTTGTCTACGCCTTGTATGTTTTCTAATTATCAATAGATAATAGAGTTCTGCGCGCTATGATTGTTCCATAATAATGTGACTTCTTTGTATGATTACCCTGCGCGATCAAAAGACATTTTTTCAATAATCTTCAAACCATTTTTTTTTTTCTTATTTCATTCATTCTTCTGGCTTTTGTATTCGAAGAGAAAAAAGCAAAAATCTCAAGCACAGTTGGTCTAATAATCTAGATCGGTTGTTATCTGAAGGCTGAGTAAAGTTGATCAAGTGACACCACGATGACAATGTGATTATGGAAGTTTTGTGTAATAAGTCTTGATGTCAGTTTCTACTGCATCGCAGTCTCTTGAATTATCTGTGAACTGACAGACTGAAACTCCCTTTGCAGGCCTAGGAGGACTTAGGAGTATTGGAAAGCCTCCAAATCTGTTATAATTCAATTCATACGTTTAAATATGACTTTACAGTGTTGCCAAGGTGTCTAAAGATCACTTACATAGTAGATCCGGAAAACTGCAGTGATGCTGTAATGGTTACAAAGGAAATTTTAAATAATTGATCGCCAGTTTCACATGAACAAAATTATACAATTTCACTTGATATTTGAATATATGTTTCGATATTTATTGTTTTGAACTAAGTGCTTTATTCAGTCTTCGCCATGTTCTTCAGTTTTCTAACTAATGACTGACTCATATTTTCCTGGAGGCAGCGTATTCATGAAACAACAAACAACGGTCTGCAACAATGACTTTGTGTCTTTCATTAATTCATTCCCCTTTCCAGCTGGTTTCCTCGATTAGTCAGTTAAGAATGCAGAGCGACAATCAACGGCACTCACGCGGATACAGTTTGGCTCAGACATTTTTTGCCCCCTTCGTTTCCACGATTATAAGTAGTGTGAAGCTCTTAAAAAAAGATTGCATCTTTTAACCGTTAAACGTTGCCATGATCAATCAAAATCATGCAACCTAGAGAGTCCCAACTACGGGTCAATATTAACTGACCATTTTCGCATATAAGTTAATTTGTTTGACACAACACTTCTGAATGACACTAAAATCAGCGTTAAGTTGTAATGCTTCAGATTATATGCCCTGTAGAAGCTTAAAGCGAAGTTCACTGCTTTGCACCACTGCCAGTCACCACTGCCAGTCAACTACAATCAACTATTTCGGTGTTTACTTGGAGCAAAATTTATCACGTGAATTTTCCACCTTTACTGACGTCATTCTTTGCGATATTGAGTTATAACAACATTGAAGTTCAAACAAAGCATTGTGGTCAGTTAAGACAGCAAATCTTTAAGGGTCAATCGCGATCTCTTTGTTTGCTTTCGTCATTGTCGCTTTGTTTTTAGATACAGAACACGTTATATGTCAATGACTGGCCATAAAATAAAATCGTGAATGTTCCGCTCCATGGCCATTTTACTCTTTCCGCTAGATGGGAGTATCACGCCATGTCAAGGATGTTTTTCACGAAAAGCGCAAGTAAATAGGTGCGAGTTCCCACGAAGAAAACGTAATTTTGAAAATATGGGAAGTCGTAATAGAGTTTGTCCATTAAAGGAGGATGAGAAATGTGTGATTGAAGAAGATAGCTTACAAGGAACATGTCCTGTTTCAAATGGGTTGGCGAATAGCTTCGCTTCACACTTCTCTGCCGTGGAGTTTTGTGGTCAAATTGCGAGACTTGATTCATCCCTGAGTCACGACCAAAGTGCTTTAGCGGAGGAAAGTACATGTGAAGGTCAACCTGAACCTCCCTCAAGAGTTTCTCCAATGGAAGAGGAAGCAAAGCGAGAAAATGAGCAGAATAGCTCGCAAGAAGCTGCCCATCATGTTTCGAATAGTTCGGCGAATGGCTTTACTTCACAAGTCTCCGCCGTTGAGTTTCGTGGTCAAATTTTGAGAGTTAATTCTTCAATGAGTAAAAGTGCTTTAACGGTGCAAAATGATCTTCCTGCTCGACCTCCCTCATCACCGAGTTCTTACTCGAAGAGAAGGAATAGTGATTTTGTTTATGTTGAGAAAATGCTGAAAGAGATAAATGCCTCTGCAGGCGCTGATACGTCTTCAAGAAGTAGAAAGGAGAGTGTCCCTGCCTATGAGCCCATTTTGGAATTTTCAGTCGATGGGACTACGGGACAGAACGAAGAGGAAAACAGAGGACAAGAGCCGAGCGAGAATGGAGAGGAAAGTGTTGGAGGGAAAAAGAATAAAACCTGCTTACCTGTAGCAGAGGAGCCGAATCAAGCTCTACTGAAATATTTCGTCACGCTATCGAGCTCAAGCGATTGCGATGATAAGCTGGATTTAGGACACATTCAATCGCTATTACTTGAAGGAGCTTGTGTGAACACCTGTGATCGCTTCAGTCAAACGTTGCTCCATGAAGTGTCTAGAAACTGGGGGACCGATGTAGCGCAATTTTTTATCGATAAAGGTAAGTCACATCTGAGGTAAAACCAAAGGATTGCTACTAATTTGAAAGGAATTGTATCATAGATATGCTGGGGAATTTAAAGAAAAGAAACTGTTATCAATCAATATACTCCATACGATTCCTGTAATTACATTTGGCAGTCTTTAACAATCTCATTGTATTTAAATGTTGTTTTTGTATCTCTGCGACTGATGTGGATATAACCCTGCTGTAACCTTGAATCATATCATGACCTTCGTTATTTAAATGCCGTGGAGCCTCTACTTAACCCATCAGTTCACTCTATGGGAACAGCATTCTAGAACCCTCCACAACTTTGATTTGCACTTGAAATTTTTTCAGCATTGAATGTATCTTAGTGACTTCTCACCTTCCGTAAGGTTTCAAAGCCATTTAGTTGTTCTCTTGCAAGAGGTTCAACTGCAAGTAAAAGCAATCTTGTATTTTGTATTTTTAAAAAAGCATACCTTCTTCTGTATGTACTTTCACTGATTAGACTAGTTTCATCAAGTCTAAATCTAGTTTTCATTTAAAGACCTCGTCAGATGATTTCCATCCTGTTAGCATTGTCGCTCTTTAATCACTTCTCTACGAACTTTAATTTTCTTTTCGTTTTTTAATGGGAACAAAAAAAACCAATGTTATTATGGCATTTTGTTTCAGGCGCAGACGTCAATAAGGCTGATGATTTCGGACGAACACCTCTACATGTGGCAGCCTCAGCTGATTATTCTGAGATGGTCAGATTTCTTATCGACAATGGTGCTGATATTGAATTGACAACCAAGGGAGAGAAGCAAACTCCACTTCATTTTGCAGCCAAAAATGAAGCACCACAAAGTGTTAAAATTCTTTTGGCCTATGGTGCAGAGACGGAGGTTCGAGACTATAAACAACGCACCCCACTGCAGGTAGGGTCATTTTTACTTTTAAGCGCAGCTGTTTCAGTTTGTCATTTTCTCTTCTGTTTCGCTTTCCTTTGTTTTGTTTTTGTTTTTATTTTCTTTTGTGTTTCTTTTGTTTTGTACTTCTTTTTCAGTTTTGATTGTTTGTCTAAAATTGTAGGTCGTCTTTTATTTAATTCGTCCTTATTCATTGGTCACCAAACGAACACTTTTTAATCTCCAAGAGAGGTTAAAAAAAATACGTGATTGCGAGATATTTTGTTCCTCAGCTAAAGGCCATCGTACGGAAGGAAAAAATATAGGAAGATTCAGAGGGTGGTAACAAAGCCATCCCAAACCATTTCTGCACCTTTTCGTTGTTGTTTAATATTTTCCTCCATTTCTCTGGAAACTTAGAGGTTTTAAATGGATATTGATGTCTTCTGGTTGTGGAACGAGTTCCACTTTAGCACAATATTTCAGCACTCTCCCTCTGCTAATTCAAATTCTTTGGGTTCGCGACCTGATGAACAAACACCACAGCAGAAATGATTAAAAGCTTCAGATCCGAATCGAAAGAAGTGATACTTACTTACTTACTTACTTACTTACTTACTTACTTACTTACTTACTTACCTACTTACTTACTTACTTACTGCCCATCATGCATGTGTGGCACATAGGGCAGCAACAAAATCCTTCCAACCCTGTCTATCTTTGGCATTTTTTTAATGGTGCTCCAGCTGTAATTGAGCTCTCTTAGTCCCTTCTCTACATTCCTGCGCCAAGTTGTTTTCGGTCGCCCTCTGCTTCGTTTACTTTCAGGTGTCCAGCGCATTGCAATTCTGGGGCTATGTTGTTGCTGGGCGTCCGCATCACATGTCCAATCCACCTCTATCTGAAGAAGAAGAAGATATAAGTCAGTATATACGCCTTTTGCAGCTGAAAATGATATCATTAAAAAGATCACTTCATAAAAATGCAACTTCAAAAGTAAACGTCACCAAAATTACAATAATCATTGCTTTAGTGGTAAAAAAAAAACCCAGACGAAATCAAAATGTTAGGAACTGGAGATAGAAAACCTACAACTTCGTAACTTTGTAGGCCGAGAAAAAGGTGGACAAAAATTTGCAAAATTAAGATAAATTACGTAATAATCGAGTGTATTACATAACACGAAAGAACTTAGCAAAATTCTAGTTTCTGCTTTTCCTTTCCTGCTTTTATTCCCAGATGAAGAGTTAATTCTTCCCTGACGTAGAATAGGTTTGTTAGTACGATATGACTGTAAAGACATCAGTAGAGTATGCGTAGCTAGATTGCGTCAAGTTCAGTCAGGGTCGCGGTTAAGCGAGTCGCCAGCCGTGAAATCTTATTCAAATATTTTTCAGGAGTGAAAAAGATGCTAATCTTTAGATTCTTGGTAAAGTGCATTTCTTCTGTTCAATTTACAAAGCCTTTCTTCCTTTCGGTCAATTTAGGTAAGAAAATAAGATCATGTGAAAGAAAACAAAATTGAGGGGGGGGGGCAGGTGTTTCGCCAAAGATATGTCATACAGCACATACAACAGCTTCTGTGTTTTATTTACAGCTTGCAGCCGAGAGCAACAGCGCTGAAAGTGCAAAACTTTTGCTGGAAGGGGGTGCTACTGCCGGAGCAAGAGACGACAGTGGAATGAGTGCACTTACCCTGATGATCACGAAGATGCCGAGTGTTGTGAGCGGGATTTGTTCTTTGCTATCAAAATTATTTAATCAATTTGCATATCGCTGCTTCTTAACGGAGTATCACAATTAAACAATACCAGGGTTATGCGTTAGACGTGTATTTATAGAACAGTCTGCGAAAATCTAGCCTTCCACTTTTGGCATTAGAAACGGAGTATGTAAGTGATTGGAGAATCAATGCACTAATTGACGCGTCTATTGTAAGAATATTTCCTTTGCGTAAATGGAGGGTAGATGCCTTCGGGGCTTCAAATGTGACAATGCATAGAGCGCTAATGAGACACAGCCCCCTATGGCTTTCCTGATTTAATCAGTTTACTCCCAAACTCTCTTTCTTTTAATTCAGGTACCATTTCATTGCAATTCTTTTGCACCGCGATTGCGTAAAGGCATAGTGTTTCACTCTCAGAAGTAATTAACAGTGGTACCTTCCTCGCACGAGTATGGCATAGGGTAAAATATCGACTGGACAGGACTATTTTTTCGGACCATTTTTTGGACCATTTTTTGGACCATTTTTTGGACCATTTTTTGGACCCTTTTTTTGGATCATTTTTTGGACCATTTTATAAGGGGGAAGCACACCATTAGTACTCAGGGAGGGGTGGGTGCAGTCTATAAGTACAAAGGGAGGGGTGAGAGGCCGACTGTTATCACTCAGGGAGGGGCGGGAGGTGGTTGTAATTGTAAACACTACTGGTTAATGGAGCTTTAACTCGATCGTACAAATCATTTTAATCGGTCTTAAACCGGTTGCTATAGTGATTGAATACGAGTGTTTTGGTTTCGTGCCATTCGATCTTGATGTTCAGATTTAGATCTCCTCGAATTATTGCTTTGCTTCGATAGAATATAAGCAGGCGAAGCCTTTCAACATTTTTTACCGCTTTTTCTCAAGGCAGTGATTGGTATCGCCGAGGGACTTGAAGTTTTGCATTCATGGAATGTGGTACACCGCGAATGTCCATTTCGGCAGCTATATATGGTTTGTCTTGCGCTCAACGTTGGACGTCTGCGCGTGAACCAATGTTCTCATCGAAATGTCGAAAACAAATTTTTCGAGGTTTGCGTTTTCGAGGTCTGCGATTTCGAGGTCTGCGTTTTTGAGGTCTGCGTTTTCGATGTCTGCGTTTTCGAGGTCTGTGTTTTTGAGACACCCGAGAGAAGGTTGTTTTGCACGACTGTACCAACATTGATTTTATACAGTAAACGTATAAACGTTAAAATTGCGATGGCGCTTGTGAATTCTACATGCGGCTAAGTCAAGGGCTAAGGACCGGAAATTCTGTGATCTCGTCTGATAAAATCAATGACAAAGGAAGATAGATAAATCTGGTAATTACATACTGTATACACAAAGGAAAACTGATGGTGCACAAGTCGCCTCGAAAGGTACACGCATAACCTATGCCAGACCGGTAACTCAACAGCGGAGGATCGTAAACGCGATATTTTCAATAAAAATCAAAGTCCAGTGTTTACGTGGCAGTTTCGCTTCCGCATGACAAAAAGATTTAAAGAAACGCCGTGGCCCAGCGCAAAAATTTTGATATACAAAAAGTCAGTCGCAAAACCGATCAAAATAATTTGCACGATCGAGTAAAAGCTCCATTGTGACCAGTAGTGTTTACAATTACAACCACCTCCCTCCCTCCCTCCCTGAATAACACTCTACCTCCCACCCCTCCCTGATTACTAATGATGTGCTTCTCCCCTTATAAAATGGTCCAAAAAATGGTGCAAAAAAGGGTCCAAAAAATGGTCCAAAAATTGGTCCAAAAACTAGTCCAGTCTAGTCCAGTCCATATTTTACCCTATGCCTACAAGTATTGAATAATCCCCGGAAATTGTATGAGTAAAGCAGTGGAAAGCCACTGACGAAATACATCGCCGTTGCTTACGGAAGAAAGATTTCGGTTATTTACATTGGGAAAGTCAGAGAACTCGAAGATGGTACGTTGAAACCACTTGACACAGCTGAACCTTGCTGGCGTTAAGTGCGTTAAAAGAAAACTTATCTAAGAGGCGGTAAACCTCGTTATTTTTTAACGTATTCTTTCTTACTAATGTTAGGCGCTTCGAGCCTTGGACCAGTTCCACGTAACAGACAGATCTCACCGCAAGCAACGGTATTATCTCAACTTCCTGGAACAATGCGACCCAGATACCAAACGTCAATCAGTCAACCTCTCACCCTTGCAAGCGGTCGTGGAAGTCAATTGCTTCGAGCTGATCATGCATCCGATTTTCCAAAGACTAATCGAAGTCAAATGGGGATTCTTTGGTCTGAGAGCTTGGCTGGGGATCTTTCTGAACGTCCTACTTGCTGTGGCCTACACTGTACTCGGAGTGACGCATCCTACAGACGTGGCTAACTATTATTACCCGCTCAGCAAGAGTGCGTGGAAGATACCCCTGGAGGCTGCCGTCGTGCTTCTAACATTCAACGAAATCAGGAAGGAGATAAAAGAATTTTACCAGTCCAAACGAGAAAATAAAGGCTTCATAAGCTGGAGGAAGAAAGAAGTCAAACGCGATTTGCAATATTGTCATCCTCGATGGACACAAGAAAAAAACTTTATCAAACAACACGTGAAACAGATCAAGCACCGAAAAAAGACTTACTTCCAAGACAAGTGGAATTATTTGGATTGGGTGGCGTATCTAATGCTGATCATTGTGATCATACTTCACGTCATCAATGTCGTCGTTGAAAACAATCAGTATAATGGTTATTTCACTCGGATACATGCCTGCACGATTATCATCATTTGGGTCCGCCTACTAAAGTTTGCCAGACCATTCCCAAGTCAGGGCCCTTTTGTAGTCATCCTAGACAACATCCTAGTGGACACAATCAGATGGGGTTTTGTCATAGCCATGTTTTACATCCCTTACGCGGCGGCTTTTTGGATGTTGTTTGGCCCGGGATCCATGCGTGAGCCTGTGAAAGGATACGACAACGTGGGACACTTAGCTTTCACTATCATCCGTTTCCCACTTGTGGATAACTACAACTTCGATGACCTGGAAAAAGAGTACCCGGTCATGTCGCGTGTGCTTTGCGGCTCTTTCCTCATCCTCGCTGCCATCGTATTGATGAACCTATACATTGCGTTGCTGTCGAACACGTTTCAACGTGTTTATGACAACGCTCGTGCCACGGCTGCCATGCAGCGAGCGCGCCTTTTGCAAGATCTTGAATCGTCTGCCTCCGATCATAGAGTGGAGCGATACAGGGATCATGTCCGTAATAGATGCAGCCCAGAGGGGAACGACTTCTTGGTGATCATATCTGACGAAGAAGAACAAAACAGGAAACAAGTAGAGAAAATCGCCTTGGTCCATACCATTGTTAGTGATCGCCTGGGAGGGAAGAAGTTTGGAAAAGTACGAAAGAGCGAGTTTGACACAGTGCTTGAAGATGTTGACTCCTTGAAACGTTCTCAGGGTGAAATGCAGAAATCTATTGATCACCTTCATCTTCGTTTGGAAGAGATTGGAAGCCTTAATTCCCTTATCTATGAAGAAATTGCTAAATTGGTGCAACACGAGAAAGAACAGGTTTCGGCGATTACTGATGTTAACACCGAAGTGACCAGCTTGAACACTAACATGGAGTACAAGGTTGAAAGTCTTTCCAGAGGCGTCGAATCTGGATTCGAAACTGTGGAAATAGAGGCCAAACTGAGGAACAGTGTGCTAGAAGGCAACTTAGGCGCAAGATTTGACCAGCTGCAGACCGAACTCATGGAAATTAGCTCCAAGTGCGATGAACACGAAACACATATCAAACAGTATGAAGAGAACCTCATGGCAAGAGTAGGACATTTGGAGGCCTTTGTAATAAGTATGAAAGATGACAAAACCATGGAGAAACCTAAAGAAAGAAAACTCAGTCCAAGACCTAAATCCAGAGCGACCAGCCCAAGATCATCCCAACTAGTCGATGCAAACAGAGAAGTGGTCAAGGCTGTAGCAACTTCTTCAGGAAGAATCCCTCTCGACGTGGAAACTGCATCTGTCTCGGATTTTCCTAATGGAGATACGGTAGCAGAGAAGCAGAAAAAAAGATCAAACATTATGTCAGGTCAAGCCGCGAGAGACGAGTTTTTGACTCGACTAAAGGAAACACTGACACCGATTTCACCCCCAAATTTAGCTCCGTGTGGAGAGGATAACGAAGCAGACAAAACTGATCTGGATTGTGCCAATGGAGATACGATAGTTGAGAAGCAGAGGAAAAGATCAATTATTATGTCAGGTCAAGCCGCGAGAGACGACTATGTAGCTCGTTTAAAAGGAATATTGGCACCGATTTCGCCCCCAAATTTAGCTCCATGTGCAGGGGAGAGCGAGGAAAACAAAGGAAAAACTGACTGAGCTTCTATCACGGTCGAAACGTGATAACGTATTCCAATATAATATATAATCACTTTGTCATCACCCTTTGTATTTTTTTCGTAGTTCATACGCCGATGAAATTACAGATAGAAAACTAAATAGTTTAATCGGTTCGATGTCTTGAAAGTGGTAATAACGCCAATCAGTTAGATGATTATGGTGACGGCAAGGGCTACAGCGCTTTTAAGCAGAAATAAAGAATGAGGATAGAGATCGCTTTCAGGAAGTTATAATACAAATTGACACATACATTGTAAATAGTCAGATTTTTCTTTAAATTCTCCGTGTAATTAGCGTAAACGTATATCTCCTAGTTAAACGTACATATGGGAAGGACTCCTTGATTAAAAAGCTTCAATAACAATTGAATGAATAATATATCGAGGCATTCACAGTGCACCCCAGAACGGCATTTCTTGAAACAAGATTCAGTAGCTCGATCGTATATGGGCCCGGTCAATCCGCGTATTTCTTTTATGTATGCTTGCATTGATATTGCAGTGGTATTTGTACAGACTTGAAATGATTTGTACGTTAGTTCGTAACAACTGGAAAGCTCCAATGGTTTCGCGTAAATCAATTTTGCCACAGGTTTAGGAGAGCCATCCAAAGTACATAGAAAGTAGCGGTTTTGCTTATATAGAAATCTGCTAGAAATGTCACCTACGATAGCAGTACGCTCTGAAAGCGAACCTCGAAACTAGGTGGGGGATTTCTTTACGCAACACATAACAAACCCCCTCCTTTTTCGCTCTGCTCTACTATCGTGCTCTCTTTACTAAGTGAATATTGGAAATAGGCCAGGCTGCAATGTGCAGCCGCCACGTTTTCTGTATGATAAACTGGTTGAACTTGAATTTGAGATCAATGCAAGATGTATTTTCGTCCTGTCACGAGCGTTGGACAAAGAAAAAATCATGTTGAGTCCTCGTAAGAAATCGAACTTCAGGCCTCCGTGTCCGGCGCTGCGACGCTCTACTACTGAGCCATGGAGACTCTTTGCCATTACAAGGTTCATGTGTAGCACACGGCTTGCCTTTCATGGAACTATGTCCAGTCATTGTCAAACCAGACTCAGCAGTTGCTTACGTATGCCCAATCTACTTTTGCGGCTCTACCTTCTACCTTATCCTATTAGACAAATATCTCTTCCTTCTACATGATAACGAACGTGGACTGCATACTCAGATTTTACTCTTAAGGTAAAATGATTGGTTGCACAATAATCCGCAATACGTACAAAGTTAAAGGTTTTAAGAAAGGTACACTTTAGCTATAAGGATGTAAATCACTGTAAATGTTTAGTTTTCGTCTTACTTTGTTAAGCCAGCAATAAAATGACTGTCTTGGTCGGTTCCATAACAGCTTTACTAAACTATAAAAGGCCCGTGTAATCGTTTAAAAGGTTAAATGGATTACACTGACATGGTTTTCATGTGATTCGCTTTAGCTTTAACCTTTAATCCTCCTGGAAGAGTCAACGATAATAATAATAATAATAATAATAATAATAATGATTTAATAATAATTTAATATTTATTTTGCGCAAATTAACCTGTGGATATGACCAAATGCGAATATGATCAACGATGCCCCCTTATCAACTTCTGTACGCTTCCCAATGTTATGTACAATGTCAAGAGAAATACATTTTCATCACCCTTTTAGGGGTAATAAGGTTGTTCAGTGCTTCTTCTTTTTCCGTTTGCCTAAAGTATGGATAATATCACCCAACATATCTTTGACTTCACCGATTTGATTATGAAACTGCGCTGACAGGGCTCTGTGCTGTTGTTCTAGTTTCTTTAACTCTTCGCGCAACTTGTGGACATCATTCGTGGACGCATTTCCTTTCTTTTTTCTATCATTGTCTTGTTCAGCTATGTAGGAGTAGATATGATCCACCTGCTCCTTTATTTGGTGCGTCATTCTTTGCAGATCTTTCTCTTCCCCCTCCGACAAGTCGTCGTCATAGTAAAGCTCCTCAGGGTTGCATCTTGTGTAGATGAAGTTAGTGAAAGCGCGCCGCTTTGAAGTGGAAAGGCTTTTCTCCAAAGTCAAAATTGTACTGGCTTGCTGCATAACAGCGTTTGCCTTAACATTGTCATAGACTCTTTGAAAAGTGTCAGACATCAAAGCAATAAAAAGATTCAAACAAATCACTCCTGAGATTGCAATGTATGTACCACAGAGAACTTTAGCCATAACAGGCTTTTCTTTTTCGAGTCCATCGTAGTTGTACTCGTCCACAACAGTCATCCTGAACATGCTGTAGAGAAGATCTGTAATGTCGGAATAACCCTCGATTTGATGTCTACTAAACACCATCCAAAACGAGGCAGCGTATGGTATGTAAAATGTGAAGAATAGAAATCCAAATTTAAGTACATCATTGATCACGTGGCCAAGCATGACAACAAAGGGTCCTAACGAAGTGAACGCGCGCGCATACTTCATAAGGCGAATCCACAAAATCACAAGGGTAGCGGATAAAATATTCACGTGTACCATCAGAGCCCATGGGTTACCATAGAGATAAGCGATCAGATTCGTCGCTATAGAGGCAAGGATCATAAAGTATGCCAGCCAGTCGACAAAGTTCCAGGCATCTTTGAAATAAGCTGGTTCCTGATGATGTAACGAGTCAATTTCTTGCATCAAGTATAACCTTTCTCCAGGCCATCTCGGATGACAGAACTCCAAATCTCCTCTCAATTTATCTTCCCGCCACTTCACCCAAAGTCTGTGTTCTCTTTTCGATGAGAAATATTCCATGACCTCTTGTCTGATAAAGTTCAGTGTCATCAGTACCCCTATGATACTCAGGGTAATCCTCCACCATTTCTCCTCGACTGGCTCATAAAGTTCAGCAGCCCTACTTGGTGTGGTGATGCCAAGCACAGTCCAGACTAGCACGAAAAAGAGGTTAATTATGACTTGGATCCAGGCTCCTCGCTTTCCAAAATAATTCCACTTCACCTTAATAAGCCTCTGTATCACTGGATGCATAATCAAATCAAACTGCTTGAGTTGCACAATGACTTCAAGTGCTGTCCTGGCGCATCCACTGCTCATGCAAGTCGGTACTGGGGGCTCAAGGTAGTTTAAGTAAAAGTATTGCTTTCTATTTGCTCGGTCAGTGGAGTAAAACTGATTTAGTGCTTCTTTAGCCTGCAGCGAGAAAGACAAAAGAATCTTAATTAGGGTCAAAATAGCTACCAGAAAACAGTCATCGTATCAGTTAGTTTTCCTTAGCCGGAAGAATAAAATTCATTACCTCCACCTCTCTCTCTCTCTCTCTCTCTCTCTCTCTCTCTCTCACACACACACACACACACACACACTCAGAAACTGCGTCAAATCGTATTGCCCTCTCTCTATGGTAAAGCGCTCCAGTTACATGGTTGTGCAATTTGCAATTGAGTGGCAAAAGCAGTACGAGATTATATTCTTTTTGCTCCACTTCCCTCTTTTCTTGGTCCAGAAAACTTGCATCACCCTCTTTAGCAAATCTAAAATCGATTGTGACTTGGTTATCTGCATTCTCCAGCTCTTGTGGCAGCTTTCATACATTCACTTTGAGATCGCATTGGTCTTCGTAACATTCTCCTTTTTTTCCGATTACACATTTTTATTAGTTTGGCTCCAATTTTACACACTTAGCTAAATGCGCGCAACTCTGCTCTTAAGCATTCTTTCATCGAGTTGAAACATTTCGGCCGTTTATAAATTTGGCTGAAAATCTACTCCACCTACCACACTGGGCATCTTGCTGATCATCATGACAAGTGCTGTCATACCGCTGTCATCGGCCACACTAGCCTCTGCTGACCGCTCTACCAAGCATTTCGCTGTTTCCGAGCGATCCAACTCAGCAGCGACCTAAAGAGATAGTAGATCAGCGGTCATATTCGAAGAACTCATGATTCAAACGCTGCAGGAGAGAGCATCGCCTAATCTTTTCCTTACATTATTTTCGTATTGCGCATTCTCCTAATGCGTATCGAAAATGCAACTTTCAGACATAGTTAGTACAACTTTTAGCCCTCCCCCTCCCCACGCCCATTTCCTCAAGTTTTCTTTTCTCCTCTCCCTATCCCACTGTTTTCCTATTCTCATTCGCAAACTATCTTTCGCAATCTATCAGTATGATTGCCAGGCCCGGTACCGAAGTAACAATCTCTTGCCATGATGTCTTGCGGTGAACACAATAGTGTAAGTTGTACGCCAACTGATGCTGACTTTTGACATGAATTGTATGTTATATATTACCTTATTGATAGCGCACCCACCAACCGAAATTCACCTTTTCTACAAAAATAAATCATCATTGAAAAATTTTCTCCATTTATTAGTGCAGACCTGCAGAGCTGTTCTCTGTTTGAAATCCTTATCAGTTATATCAGCGCCACATTTCATCAGCATCTTTAGTGAAGAAGTTGCATCGTTGCGTGCAGCGAAGTGTATGGGTGTCTGCATTTCTTTGCCTGTCTTGGCATGAATGTCTGCGCCTCGTTGCACCAGAAAATGAACCATTTCAGGATAGTCCACCGCGGCTGCTACGTGTAGAGGGGTGCGGCCGTATTTGTCAGCTTGATTGATAGACGCCCCTGAGTAGGAAGTGATAAATCATTTATTTGAAAAAACTGTTTCCAAGTAACAAGCCCACTACAGTTTCTTCGTCATGATCAAAAAGGAGCTATTGGTGTTGATGTACTTTATGGGTGATAACCTTTATATTGTACTCTATGAGTGGTAAGCTACTGATGGTAACCCTGTGGTCTGGAGCGGATTTCGATTGAGTGTCATAAATCTGACCAAAACCAATGTGATCAAAGCAGCCAATCAGATCGATGGTACGTCTCAATGGGCCAATGAAAGGTCAAAGTAAAAACAAGTGAACTGCCGTGAAACGCGGGAAAATGCGAGTGACCAAGTCGCAGTTGTGTCAGTCTCATTGGTTAAGAAAGTGGTGTGAATTTTCTTGACCAATCACAAACGCTAACTTTTGACCCTCGATTTGAAATTGCTCCAACGTACCAGCCATCTACTTTGTCATCTATTTTCCAAATGAACTAGTGAAATACTGCCGAATTTATAAAAAATGTCCGAGTTTTAATGCTTTAAAACTTTGGCGCATCGCGTGAGAAGTAAAATGTGTGTCCAAATTTTTAAGTGCTCGTACTGCCTTCCATAAAATAAATGTGCATTATGACTGAAGTTTGTAGAAAACAGACCAAAAAGCTAATATGAAATCGAAAATGTTTACATTAGATTGCTATGAGGCGTATTCTAATTGAATTGGGCGCCATAGACAGCCTCTTTGATTGGAATGTTCGGCACACGGAGGTGACGATTTCATTT